CTTTCTCCTCCTCACTCTGATGTTCTTTTTTTTGTACTCAGGTGAGTCGTATTTCACATTACAAAGGTTCCCTTTGGGGGGAAGATTTTTCTACAAATGTTCCATAAGATACTCCATCTCAGAAAGGAACCCAAAATCCATGAATTGTCCAGGTGTTCCAAAAACTATATGAAGGCTCTTATTAGGTTGTCAACTGAATCTGATAAAATCTCCCTGCAAGCCTAAGTGCTTCATTTGTGAAAGCTTGTGGGAGAAGGAGGCATTGTTGTCCCACACAGGGACATGGGAACAGAGAAGCACATCTCTCATAGAATCATAGAATAGAATCATAGAATCATAGAGCTGGAAGAGACCACAAGGGCCATCGAGTCCAACCCCCTGCCAAGCAGGAAACACCATCAGAGCACTCCTGACATATGGTTGTCAAGCCTCTGCTCAAAGACCTCCAAAGAAGGAGACTCCACCACACTCCTTGGCAGCAAATTCCACTGTCAAACAGCTCTTACTGTCAGGAAGTTCTTCCTAATGTTTAGGTAGAATCTTCTTTCTTGTAGCTTGGATCCATTGCTCCGTGTCCGCTTCTCTGGAGCAGCAGAAAACAACCTTTCTCCCTCCTCTATGTGACATCCTTTTATATATTTGAACATGGCTATCATATCACCCCTTAACCTCCTCTTCTCCAGGCTAAACATGCCCAGCTCCCTTAGCCGTTCCTCATAAGGCACCTCAAACACACACACACACACACAGAGAGAGAGAGAGAGAGAGAGAGAGAGAGAGAGAGAGTTGAACCCTCACATATTCTTGTGAATGCTCAGATGTAGCTATTCTCAAGGAAGCTTCTATACGAAATTAGTCAGTAGGAACGAGAAAGAATATCATGTGAGATTTACTCTGTCACCCTACTGAAAGCAACAGAATGGGCTTCAGTTCAGCTAGGAGTTGAATGGGTTTTCTTTATTAGTATCGTCAACTGATTAGCTAGTTTGATTTGATTTGATTCTCTTCCCATCAACTGATCAGGGACATTTAAATTCAGCTGCATATTGCCAAACCTCACTATAAATGAACTTTTAAGAGAACAAAGGAAATGTAAGATAAAATGTATCTCATTTTTCTATTCCTAAAAATAAATGTTTTCAAATGGAGAAACAAGTAAGGCATTGAGTAAGCCTTTGTTTGGTTGGAGGGGAGGTTGTAGCCTCCCCCTCCCCCTCCTCATTAAGGGTATCTTGTTCTCAAATGGACTATTATTCAACATGTAGATTTGCTTTGGAATTTTTACATTTTACATGTTTTCATTCTAGCCGTTGTCACTGAAGCAAGTTTTGAACGGGTGAGTGGCAGTCGTTTATTCTTATTACAGAACATCCTAATAACTTGCTGTCAAGATGTGTAATATTGCTTTTTCCTGCAGCTCATGGTTAAACTATAGAACTCGCTCCCACAGGAGGCAGTGATAGCCACCCCCCCTTGATGGCATTGAAAGGGATTAGACAAATTCATGGTGTAGTGGTTGGGAGCAGTGGACTCATAATCTGGTGAACCGGGTTCGCCTCTCCGCTCCTCCACATGCAGCTGCTGGGTGACCTTGGGCTAGTCACACTTCTTTGAAGTCTCTCAGCCCCACTCACCTCACAGAGTGTTTGTTGTGGGGGAGGAAGGGAAAGGAGAATGTCAGCCGCTTTGAGACTCCTTAAAGGGAGTGAAAGGCGGGATATCAAATCCAAACTCTTCTTCTTCTACTACTTTATTGGAGTTTACACAGATGGCTTTTTGCACTGCCTCTCTCCTTGCCAGTCCTTCTACAGCATAGTTGGTTGCAATGTTTGCAGGACGCCTTTGAGTTCAGCAGATTTGCTTTGTGCAAAAATAAGTGCGGCCCTGTCCCATTTTATCAGTACTCTTCATTTTGGGGGCGGGTGTGTTTGTGATTTCTTATAACAAGAAAAACCTGATGTGCAACTAAGACCTGATTGGTAAAAGCAACCACATGAGATTTGCCAGAAAATGGATAATACTGTAAAATTTACTCTCTCTGTAGAGATATTGTCGAGGATATCCAAAACCACAGTGCACCCTGGAACTCAGTCCCCACTGTGGCTCTGATGGCATGTCATATGGCAACAAGTGTTACTTCTGCAATGCGTATATGTGAGTACAGGTTTGTGTGTGTGTGTGTGTGTGTGTGTGTGTGTGTGTGTGTGTATTCTGTTTTACTATTTGAAGTACTAATTTTTATATCCTTAAGATATCAATAACTTCCCTTCTTCTCTTTCCATGGTTCATCTTACATATCATAAATCCCTGCATATTTTACACAAACTATACCATTCAGTATTCCATTATTATATCCATCAAAACCTATTTACACTCTTGAATTTATCTTAATCCTGCCAGCATTTTCAGCTGTACACAGTTATTTCCCATATATTCAATAAACGTTTTCCAATCTTCTCTAAATGTATGTCCTTCTTGTTCTCTTATTCTATATGTTAAGTTTGCAAGCCGCACATATTCTTTCAACTTAAGTTGCCATTCGTCTTTGGTTGGGACGTTGCTTGTTTTCCATTTTTGGGCTAACAAAGCACAGGCCACAGTAGTAGCATACATAAATAACATTTTTTGACACCTTTTGACATCTGAATCATCCCCAACAGAAAGGACTCTGGTTTTTTTTGGGGGGGGGGTACTTTTAAATATTTTTTTCCCAATTCATTATGGATCATTTCCCAATACTCTTTTACCCTTTTACAAGTCCACCAACCTCCTCACCACTCTCTTTCCCCACCCCCAAGGAGCAGAGATGCCCCTGTCCGAAGGGCAATCGTGTTGAAGTGCCCCACCATGCCTATCACGGCACAAAAGGTAGTAAGGTTGGCCCATGAGAAAAATAACACAAAGGTCCATCAGGGAATTAGGGGGTAATAAGAAAGTTATTGTGAAGGTAGGAAAGGCTTACACTAGGTGCTTCCCTAATGTGGATCGCAGAATTGCTCTGGTGAGAAGTCTTAGCATATACTCTTACAGAAGCTTCTGACACGGATGAACAGTGAAAGCTGGAAAATGGGGGTGTTTTACCAAGCAGTGGTGCTGAAAAGAACATATGAACATAAGAAGCTGCCTTATACAGAGTCAGGCCACTGGTCCATCCAGCTCAGTATTGTCTAGATTGATGGGTAGTGGCTATTGTGTTTATTAATATTGCTCTTTAGAAGCAATAGGTGAATAAAAACTGGTTCTTCTTGCCCAGTCTTCTTGCCCAGTCTTTCTTGCCCAGTCAAAAAATATGTTTCCTAAGCTTTACTAACAGAACTTGTTCCAAAACCAGACACAAAACAATAATGATACACCCAATAGTCGCATAATATCATGTGCTTGTTCCAACACAGGCCTAACATCTTAGAAATATGAAATAACTTTTCCCAGAGCTGAAAACAAAGCTCTTTCTCTCCACACAAACTCCATTAGCCTGGAGACTATTTTCTCCTGGACAGGGAGTCATTAGTGGTCCTAGCTCTTCAGCCCTTTTTCAGAAAAACAAAGACCAACTCACACACCTAAAATGGAGCTCTGCAATTGAATACCCCATGTGATCATGATGAGTAGCAGAGATACATTCTCAGTTAATCATTTAAATGCTAGGCATTCTGCGGCTCTTTCTTAGCTTCAAGGGATTTTTCCAATGCTATGTCTTGAGCGATACACATGCAGTTATTTTAAATGTCAATGTAGAATCAAGCAATTATGCTTAACCCTTTCTCTTCAGGTTATTGGACAGGATTGTTTCTCATCCATTTCCCTTCCCTGAGAAATAGAGCAATGATGAACTTACCTTTCTCACCAATACCATTTCTGTTTAATGAGTAATAATGAAGCTTGCATCTTCTGAATTCTCATCCTGAGTTCTTGGCATTATCTTTCCCGCATCAGCCGAAGTGGAAGACGTCTTAGACTGAGGAACCTTGGAGACTGCAGAAAATTTGACGACTAAAGAACATCCACAAAAGAAGGTCGATTTCTCATCATACCCTGTTCATGCCATCTCCAGGAAGAAATTCATTATTATTCCCTCTGCTTATGCTCTGTTCTGCTATCCAATGAATATCTTGCAATGTCTTCATTTGATTTATCAATAAATAAGCTCAGCATTATAAACCTCTCCATACATTTATTTCTGTATTATCTACTTTTTAATTTATTATGTGATTTGGGTGAAAGAGAGATCTGGAAGTTTGTTACTAATAATGCACAATAAAAGAACTAAGTAAAAAAATCAGCAGAATCTGCTCCCTTTGGATTGTAGCACTTCTGACTTCAGGCAATTGATTTATGTAGATTTAAAAAACAAACAAAAAAACCCCCACCTGTAGCCAGATGATTTAGTTAGACATTGAAGCTAGAACTCTGCCATGTTACTTTTTAAATTTTTTTTTATTGATTTTCAATAGAAGAAAGGGAGAAAAAGAAACAGAGAGAGAGAGAAATAAGAGAAAAATACAAAAAAATCATTTAAATTGATATATAACAATATATATCTGTGTATTCAGCCACAGTCATGCACTAGTGCAAGAATAAATGTTATTGCAATGGGATTCCCTTCCTCTCTGCTTTCCCTACCTGTGCATCCCACTCTATCCCCTAATTTCCTCTGGAGGACTGGATAGGCTGGAGCTCTCCCCATCCTGCACCAACTTCAGATAAAGTGTCAGGCTGCGATCCTATGCAGAGTTGCTTATGCGTGAATCCTTACTTCACAGGACTTACTGCTGAGTAAACATGCATAGGGTCAGGGGAAGCTGAGTAAACATGAATAGGGTCAGAGTGGAGCCTAGCCCTGCCAAGATTTGGAAGCCTCCAAACTCTCAAAACACAAGGTCCAGTCTTTCTCCTGTCACCCATACCAGTATATTCCCACCTCTGTAGATTCCCACCTCTGTCTCCAAGGAGAAGGAACAGTTGAAAAGAGGCCCAAGCAATTATTGTACATAGAAAGGGCTATGGAAGGAGAGGGTGGCAGTGAAGATGCTACTCCCTTTGAGCTGTTATCTTTCTCTCTCATAAGCAATGCTTCCATCGAGCAAGGCACAAGCATAAACTGGGAGATAAGCTGTGGGGTGGGGGGGGGAGATTTGGTCACAAGCCTCTCTACCCCACCATGTGGCTGTTTGCTCCCACAGGAGGCAGTGATGGCTATCACCCTCGATGGCTTTAAAAGGAGGTTAGGCAAATTCATGGAGGAGACTATCAATGTGATGGCTATATGTTCTACCTCCAAAGTCAGAGGCAGCAATGCTTCTGAACACCAGTTGCTGGAAACCACAAGAGGAGAGAGTGCTTGCTGCTCCACTCAGGTCCCCCGTTGGGGATTCTCACACGCACCTGGTTGGCCACTGTGAAAACACAATGCGGGACTTACATGGGCCATTGGCTTGATCCAGCAGGCTCCTCTCTACAAGATATAGCTTGCATATGAAATTAGTCAAAAGGAACAGGAATGGAACATCTTGCCATGTGAAATTTATTCTATCAAACAGCTGGATATCCCACTGAAAGCAACAGAATGGGCTTCGGTTTAGCTAGGAGTTGAATCAGTTTATACCTGTTTTCTCATTTAGTGTTGTCAACTGATTAACTGATTTTATTTTATTCTCTTCCCATCAACTGATCAGGAACATTTAAATTCAGCTGCATATTGCCAAACCTCACTATAAATGCACTTTTTAAAAGAAGCCCACTTACTTTTTCTGTTGGGTGGTGTTGCGGCCAGGCGTTGGGCCCGGCTGGGGGTGAAAAGCGTTGCCGGCGCTGGGTGGGGCCCCACCGAGGGATGGCCCCACTGTCTATTCAGCGCCGGCAGGAAGCGTGGCCATATGAAATTTAAACTGCAGCGTGGCCGGGGACCACCCTCTCGTGTCCTTTGCCAGATTTTCTGGAAACTGATTATCTGGATCCATTTCAATCGGGGTTTAGGCCTGGTTTTGGCACAGAAACTGTTTTGGTCGCCCTGTATGATGACCTCTGTCGAGAGAGAGACAAAGGGAACATGTCCCTGTTAATTTTTCTCAACCTCTCAGCGGCTTTCGATACCATCGGCCATGATATCCTTCCGGAGTGATTCTCCAAACTAGGGTTGGGTGGCACTGGTTTGTGGTGGTTCCCGTCCAACTTGGATGGTTGTTCCCAGAGGGTGTTACTTAGAGATTGCTTTTCAGCCCCGTGGAATCTCCAATGCGGGGTTCCACAGGGCTCAATTCTATCCCCTATGTTGTTTAACATCTACATGAAACCGCTGGGTGGGGTTATCCGGAGGTTCGGAGTACATTATCAGTATGCTGATGACACTCAGCTCTATTTCTCCTTTACATCACCAGGTGAGGCAGTGGAATTGCTGGACCAGTGTCTTGCCTCGATAATGGACTGGATGAGAGCCAACAAACTGAAGCTCAATGCAGATAAGACTGAAGCACTGTTAGTGGGTGGTTCCCTAGACTGGATGGCTGGGAGGTTGCCTGCTCTTGATAGGGTTACACTTCCTCTGAAGGAGTAGGTTCATAGCTTGGAGGTACTCCAAGGATCCATCCTTTGCTGTCGCTCGAGGCTCAGGTGGCCTCAGTGGCCCAGAGTGCCTTCCATCAGCTTTGGCTGGTGGCCCAGCTACACCCCTTTCTGGACAGGGAAAGCCTAACTACTGTTGTCTATGCTCTGATCCTGGTCCAACTGCACTGGCTGCCGGTTAGTTTCTGGGCACTGATTTTGATTAAAGCACTGATTTTGACCTATAAAGCCTTAAATAGCTCAGGACCATAATACCTCAAGGACCACCTCTTTCCATATGAACCTATCCCGACCCTGAGACCCTCTTCTGAGGCCCTTCTTTGGGTGCCTCTGCTCTGGTACCCCAGTTGAGGAACTCCTTCCCACTGAAGATACTGATGTTCCCCACTTTTATCTGTTTTTAGGCATCAAGTTAAAACTTATTTCTCCCTTACAGGCTGCTTTAAGAATTGGTTTCTTCTGCTGGTAGATTGTTGTTTTGTTATCTTTGTTGGGTTTCTGGTTTTTGTTTGATACCATTGTCTTGTATTTTAATGAACTGTTTGTGTAGCACCTGGAAAACATTTGAGCTGAACAGCAGGCTATATAAATACCATAAATCAAACTTTGATGTAATGAGAAGTTTGGCTTGAAGCCCTCACTTCAAACCTTTCTAACGTTGTAAGCTGCAACTAGTGGAATTCCCTCTTCTACATAACCATTTTTTATTATGGAAGCCCTAATAAAAGAAAGTTGCTGTGGATGATTTAACTATGCTATGATGATGAAACCTTGGCAGATGCACAGTATGAGAAACTTCAAGCTGAACTCAGCCCCAAACCATATTTACTTTGAGGAATAGACCCACAGTATCTAGGTTACAGCTGGGTTCAGCTTGAAGTTTCTTGTGCCTTGTAAATGGATAAATAAATACAAAACCACCACCATGCAAAAGATAAAAATAAATGTGGCAACATATGCGCAGGCAAGAAGTACTCTAATATGTAAAGAGACAAAAAGATCAAGCCTAAGAATCCCAATAGGCTTGAAGGGAAAAGCCCAAGAACCTAAACTTCCCCTTTTTAAAAGCTGCTAAGGAAGACAACTGTTTAAAATGTACAAGGTAAAGGCCGTAAGGCTGTGGCTTATTCATTTATTCAGAGCCTGAGCAGGCTTTTCACCTTTAGAAGTCACACCTCTGATGGCTTTTCTGCCCCACCAGCTCTTTCTTTATTACGCACTGGGGAATTCTCCTTAGAAACAGCTACATATCTGATCTAATGAGATCCTTATATATGCAGTAGTTTTGTACATTATCCCCTCCTGCCTCTCCCTCTCTCTCTTTCATATAGTCTAGCAAGATAAACAGTGCCTTGCTCACCCATTATAGCACGTGTGCCAGCTTTACAAAGTCAGTGGAGAGAAGCGAAAGCTGTAACAGTAATTGAGGTTTACAGAAGTTTGCTCTGCCTGGACCGATTATACGATAAATATTGCAAGGGGGCCATCTAGTGGCTATTACTGGTAGCATAAGGTAGTTTATCTGTGGCAGTCTATGCGGTGTCAGAGGAGGGGTAGTACCTCTGGTGGGGAACACGCCATGCTCCTTCTGTTTGTCCACCTTTGGTCTTGCACTCAGCTCTCACTTGTGGCTCCTAGAAGCTGTCAGCATATGACAGTGGCCACACACTTTGACTGACCGGCTAAACCAGCTGAGAGTAGCCAGTGGGTCTCAAATCCTCAGTGTGTTCGAAACATCCCCTGCATTTGAAGACAGGCTCTGGCAGATTGAGCAGATGGGACCCATAGTGGGTCCAACTCTCAAGAAAGAAGTTCCTGCACGTGTTGTAAAGGGGAGCAAGGGGCAACTTGGCCAGTTTCCCAGCTTCTCGATCTGGCTCAGGAAATGCATGTGTAGCCTCAGTTTCTGTGCACACCTTCCAACGCAGTTCAATATACATGACAACTGCTTCAGTGTGCGTCTTGCCCCTGTCTTGCCCTAGTTTCCACCAGAGACTGCTTCCAGAATTATTGCACATAACCTCTTCAGTACTTAAATTGAGGTGCAGCTTCAGAGCCCTGCTCAGCAGAAAGTACTTTGAAGAGGTCATCCAGTCGAAGCCTAAGTGACATCTAAGGGCTATTGTCAAGCGACGTTAATATAAAACCTTGTACCTTTTCTGGTGCTCCTTTGAAGAAGGGGGGAAATACAACTATAAATGGTAACTTGAACTGCTTCCCCTGCTGTACTATTGATATTCTTATAATCATCTGTGGCATTCTGTGCTGGGTTTCATTACGTTAATGTTTGCCATGTGAAATGTTTGCCATGTAAAACATTAGCTTCCTGTAATTCAGTTACTAACAGTAACTTCCCCAAACAATGTATGAGTAAGTGCATCTCAAGCATAACATGTCCCATAACAATTTTTCCTCCCCATGGGGTAAGCATTTGATGATACCAAAGAAGGGAAGAGATAAATTCACATTCCATTGTCATTATATGCCATCGTTAATATTAGCAAAAAGGTTTCAGTACTTAGCTTGATGATAATGAGTTATTAACAGTTAATGGCCTTTTAGGCCATGTGAATAGTTCACTTTTTGAATAATAAGAATTATATGTCATGGGCGGACGGGGGTCAGGATTTTAGAGATGCTTAGGTGGGGCATGGCCAAAAAAAGGTTGGGAACCACTGATCTAGACTAAGTTGGCTGGATTTAGTTCCCATTTACGTGAATAGAACTTAAGTCACTGCTCACTGTTTTCATTGGTTTCAGGCGGCCATAAATCCAGTCAAAGGCAATTTGATGCTGGCTATTTTATTTTCAGCCCCTTTCTTACTAAACCCTAGAACTGCAAGTGCCTATTTCATTGCTGCTGCACCCTGAGCTGGCATTTGCAAATTGCCCCCCTTAAAAATCAAATTGCCCCTCTGAGGGGAACTACAGGTCTAGATCCAAGCAATGCTTTGTGTAAAATCTGTCACAACACTTCAAGGACGTAGAGTTGGGAAAGGTGGCAAAAAAGGCAACCAAAATGGAGCTCCTCCCCTTCACTTGTTGCTGCCTCTACACCTGTCCCCTCCTTGCAAACAAGCAATGGCAGCAGAAGGAGCAGCAGTCTCTGCTTGCCTTGCCTTCTCCCTCTAGGTGGCAGCACCGATTGGGCCCATAGGAAGAGAGGGCAAGCAAGTAGGGAACAAATGGAGAACAGGAACAGCAATGAGGAAGTGGGGGGAGTGTTGAGGCCTACTGAGGGCATCTTGACCAAGCACCCCGCTCACCCCCTGCACACAAAAACACCTGGATCTGGCACTGATTTCGGCCATATCAGGACAATACATTTAAAGCAGCATTATACCACTTTCACAGTCATGGCTTCCCCCAAACAATCCAGGGAACTGTAGTTTGTTCAGAGTGTGGAGAGTTGTTTGGAGCGCCCTGTTCATCTCAAGTTGAGGCTCCAATACTTTGGCCACCTCATGAGAAGAGAAGACTCCCTGGAAAAGACCCTGATGTTGGGAAAGATGGAGGGCAAAAGGAGAAGGGGACGACAGAGGACGAGATGGTTGGACAGTGTTCTCGAAGCTACAAACATGAGCCTGACCAAACTGCGGGAGGCAGTGGAAGACAGGAGTACCTGGCGTGCTCTGGTCCATGGGGTCAGGAAGAGTCGGACACGACTAAACGACTAAACAACAACAACATTCATCTCACAGAGTCACGTTTTCTAGCTGGAGCTGTGTGGGACAGGATAACCTGGGAGGGACAGGATAGAACAAAAATTATCCACGGTGTAGAGAAAGCAAACTGATTTCCCCCTCCCATCTCATAAAAGTCAGGTGACTCAGGGATGCAACTACAGTGGTACCTCTGGTTACAGACGCTTCAGGTTACAGACTCCGCTAACCCAGAAATAGTACCTTGGGTTAAGAACTTTGCTTCAGGATGAGAACAGAAATTGCGTGGCGGCAGTGGGGCGATGGTGGGAGGCCCCATTAGCTAAAGTGGTGCTTCAGATTAAGAACAGTTTCAGGTTAAGAACGGACCTCCGGAACGAATTAAGTACCACTGTATAGCAGTAGATCAGGAATGGGGGAACTTTCTGGGTGCTGCATGCCAGTGGTGGGTCGGACTGGAGCCAGATTTGGGGGGCGGGGCGGAACAATATAGCTGCCCAAAAGCCAGATGATTCTATACCCAATTCCAGTGCTTTTTTTCTAAAAAAATAAATAAAAATGTTTAGGGGTACTCTCATTTTGACTCAAGAAAACCACCATTTTATAGTCCAAATTGGGAAAGATAAATACAGTAAATAGACAAAAGTACAAAGATTCGCAAAATGTTTAAGGGTATGCATATTCCTGCGTCCCCCCAAGAAAAAAAAGCACTGCCCAATTCTATACAAGAAGACTCTATGATTCCAATTCCCTTCCAGCCCCTGCATTTCTACCAAGTTTTGCCATCTGCACAGGACTGTTATTTCGATGGGGTTTTGAGGCTGAAGTGTTGAAGAGGCTCCCTCCCCACAACTTTCTGTTTCATTGTTACGTTTCTATGGAACCGCGATCCAAATGCCTGGCTCACTCTTCAGTTTAATGAGAACGCAGGCTGAAGCAACAGCAAAACAGTTTGTGCTTGCCAACATTGAAAGGAGAATAATGAGGGGGTGGGGAAGGGCTCTGTTTGCTTTTGGAGAGAATTGGCATTGGTCTTATCTGGGCCTTTATAGGGAAGGTTGCCAGAAATACAAGTAAGAATTTTATTGAGCATTATTTTTATTGACTGCTTCTTTTGTGCACGCAATCCTCATATGTAATTTGTCAGCAAGCCCTTTGTGTTGTGGCATACGGCCAAGGCAACTAGATCATTTACTTACTCTCTGATAAGAAGCTAGTTGCCCCTTCACAGATAAGGAACCTTTGAATTTGCTCCACCTGCCCACAACAGTATCAAATTTCCACATGTAGATATTGTTTGGAAAGGGGATATAGAGAGACCTCATATTCAATCTTTCCTCTGCCAGTGGAATCTCAGAAAAGTCTGCTTGGAAGTGCGAGATCAAGACACATCATGAAGACATTGGGTTTTCTGCTTCTCATTCTGACACTCTTCTTCCTGTACTCAGGTGAGTCACCTAACATACTGCCAAGGTACCTTTTAGAGAGACTTTCCTCTTGAAATTTGTGTCGCATTATACACTCACATCTCAGAAAGGGACACACGCCAATTCCATGATTCCATGAGCTGGATGTAAGAGCCACAGGGAATACAAATGCTTAACATGTAGAATTTACTCTGCCGCATGGAGAGGCTCAATGACAGCACAGCAAATTCCTGGTGGTACCTGGCACTGTTACCTGGTACTCTCCATGCCAATCCACATGATGAATATCTTGCAAACATTAAGGACCCCAGGAGCCACCACACACACATTTTTGATGGCCTCTACTGGGCTGCCATAACACACGAAAGCAGAACTTATGTGGAGTTCTAAGAGGAAGTTCGACAGGATTGTGTTGCAAACCGATGGGATTTGAACAAATTTATGAGGGGAAAGCTTTCATTTGTGTTGTCAACCAGATAATGAATCTTAATTTATTTGTTCATTTTCACTTCAACTATTAATCAGTTATGTTATTTGGCTTATTCCATATCAAAATAGTAAAGGAAAGGTAAGAGAAAATGCACCTCATTTTTCAGAGATGAATAAAATGTCCCCCAATGGACTGCTGTTCAACAGGTGGCTTTGCTTTACAGCTTTTAAAATTGTTGTTTTGGTTTTAGATACTATCGCTGAAGCAAGAAGACCCCAACTACAGGTAAGAGCCAGCTATTTCTTCTGATTACACAATCAATATCATGTAGCTGTAGAGGAGAATTAAAGCACCTAATAGTAAGTAAAGAACAATGAAAACAAAGTTTAGGATTAAACTAATTCTTGCAGTGCTGTGCTGTTGAATCCGAGAGGTTTACAGGGGGTAAATGTAAAGTTCTGGTCCTGTCTCATCGGCATATTCATTTCCATGAAGGAAATGTGCTCCTGAACGGAATAGGGATAAATAATTGGCTTAGAAATGGGAATGAAATGCATTAAGTAAGAATTGTGGCTCAAAAGCGGTCGGAGTAACTCTACTATGAGCAAAGGATACAATATATGGAACTTTTTAGTTTGGAAAAATGGTGAGAAAGAGGGCACATGACGGAGGTGTATCAAATAACGCAGGGCATGGGAGAAATGAATAGATAAATGTTTTCCCACTATAACACTAGAACTTGGGGCATACAGTGAAGCTGGATTTTTGAAGATTCGGGAGAGACAAAAGAAAGGGCTTCTTCAGTGGTTGAACTATGGAATTGAATCCAACAAACAATAGTTATGGCAACCAGCATAGGTGGTTTTAAAAGAGCATTAAATAAAATTCATGAAGGATAAAGCTCCCAATGGCTACTAGCTATAATAGCTATGCATTCCATGGGTGTAGCCAAGGCGGGACAGGAGAGGGCAGCTGTCCACCCCCTAAATCAAGTAAATAAATAAAAATACCTAACAAACCGGCAAATCACGTCACAGATAGCTCGTTCTCCCCTCACTAACATAGGTAAAAAGGTAAACGGTAAAGGACCCCTGGACAGTTAAGACCCGTCAAAGGCAACTATGGGGTTGTGGCGCTCATCTCGCTTTCAGGCTGAGGGAGCTGGTGTTTGTCCGCAGACAGCTTTCCGGGTCATGTGGCCAGCATGACTAAACTGTTTCTGGTGCAATGAAACACCGTGACAGAAAGCAGAGCACATGGAAACGCTGTCTACTTTCCTGCCACAGGGGTACCTATTTATCTACTTGCACTGGTGTGCTTTCAAACTGTTAGGTTGGCAGGAGCTGGGACAGAGAAACAGGAGCTCACCCCGTCGCAGGGATTCGAAACACTGACCTTCTGATCGGCAAGCCCAAGAGGCTCATAAAGCCTGCTGCCACTAACATAAATCCTGGCTGTGTCCATGATGCACTACTGCATAGTATGGGATGTGAGTAGGGTTGCCATATTTCAAGAAGTAAAAATTCAGACAAAAAGTTGGGGGAACTGGTTGGCTTGTTCCTTGCAGGTTCCTTGGAGGCTGGATCTGCAGCCCCTGTGGAACCTGCCCCCTGAGGTGGTCACCTTGCCTTGACTCATGGGTGAGCTGGTCCTTATCCCCCTGCCCCATCCAGCTAAGCTGTGACAATGTTGGTATCACGCGGGAGCAGAGATGGGGAGAAATTCTATTCAGTTTGCATTTAAAGGCAAAACTGTCACATTGCACTTTCTGAAACAATGTGGGAACTGAAGCAAAGCTATTATTCAAAATTGGCAAATACCGTATTTTTTCGTGTAAAAAGTATGTTAGGAATTGTGGGTCATCTTATACATGCATAGTGCGGGGGGGGCGTAGGATTGGTTGCTGCCATGAGCCGGAGATTGTCAACGGCATGTTATTGGTTGCTGCGGCAAGGGCTGGTGTTGATTGGCTGTCGCTGTGGCAATTGGGCGGGCAATTGGCGGCTTCTGCCAGCAAGGTGACAGACAATAGGTGGCTTTTGCGATGCGTGTGAGTGGCAGTGTAGGTCATGCAGGTGAGCTATTTTTGGCAATCCCACCTAAAAAAAAGCTCAACAACTATGGGCAATTCTCCCCCCAAAAATGTCAACAACTTTGGGCAATCTCCCCTCCATTTTCTTAATTTTGAGTCCCCCAAAATAGGGGTTGTCTTATACACGGGAGCGTGTTATAAACGGAAAAATACGATATCCAAATTTTGCACTTCATTCCTCCAGCCAACAGACATTTACAAAAATGTATATATTAAAAGGAAAGTGTGCTTAAAAAATAATATATGAGAGCCAGTGTGGTGTAGTGCTTAGAGTGTTGGACTACTATCTGGGAGACCAGAATTCAATTGTGGCTCAGCCATGAAGCTTACAGGGTGACCTTGGTTGTTGTGAGGCTAAAATGAGGGGGGAAGAATTTGAGCTCTTTGGGGCAAAAAGGTGGGGTCTAAATGTAATGAACAAATAATGAAATAATATACAAAAAACAAATTATACCGAGGGAAAGTGCTTGCAAAAACGTGTACAAAGCGTGTTTTCCTTCATGGAGAGCACGTGTTGCGGTGGGGGCCGCCAGGACACTCCAAAGTTGGGGGGCGGGCTAATTGATCGTTGGCCACTGATGCGATTGGGGCTTCCCTTGTTGTTGGGAAGAAGTTAATGTTGCCATTTATTGATTGACAGTCAGAAATCCTAAAACTCCTCGCACGGGGCTAGGGCTTCCTCTTTTTGCCCGTGCATCAGATTGCCCGTCCCTCCCTCTCTAGAATAGGGTTGTTCGCTTTGACCTTGCTATGCCTGTCATGGGGTCGTCTGCTTTGGAGCGGGGGCCTGGTAGGAATTTTTTCCATCTGGCTGATTGGCTGGGGCCATTTGGTTTTTGCCTACTGCGTAGCAAATCGTCACAACTTGTAAGGTTCGCGGTTAGGCATTGGTTTATGGTTTGGTTGGTTGAGGGGCATGGATTGGCTGTGCCTGCCCTTCTAATGCCGCTGCTGCAAGGGATGCCGTTAAAGGAATTGGGGGCTAACTATTGCTTGTCCACTCTGTCAGGGGGGCTCGGGCCATAGCAATGAGCTCCTGGTTGCATTTGGGGTGAGGGCAGGTTCCCTGCTCCGCGTAACCCCCATGTGTATTCCCCTATTCTGACTTTCGCATTGTGCGGAATGTCAGTCTGTCCCCCATGGTGGGGGCAGATAGTCGCAACCAATGCCTACACAACCACTCACAAATTTGTATTTTAATAAAGTTGTGGCCAAAATTATGCCAAAAATCTTAAACAAAAATTTCTGTGTGATGTGTGAGTTATTGGGGTGGACCTGGGGACCTCGACACGCAATAGTAAAAATAAAATAAAAATGATTGGAATAAACCTGCCTCAAAATGGTAATAAACTTCCAGGAGAACATAAAGAGAGAGAAAACTTATGAATTGTTGCAGAAATATCTGAAGAACTGATTTTAAGATTGGAAAGCAGAAACAGAGAGAACTGAAATTAACAGACCCCCCTCAATTCCTGGAAACAGATAAACAAAAAATAGATACAAATAAATAAAATGAGCAATGTAAAGTTTATTCATTTATTTCATTTACTTAAGGCATTTATACAGCTCCTAATTGTTTGCATCTCTGAGCACTGCTTATAAAACAAGGCAAAAAAAATCATGGAACAATGAAAGAATTTAAAAATTATAATAAAACCAAACACTAGCTTAAGCTGCAACAGAGCACAGTCATATAATATACATATCCTCTGGTGGGAAATAAAAGGTAAGTATTTGGCTTGATGGTTTTAAACTAGTCAGGGTGTGCATCTGTGTGGGTGTGTAGGTATGGTCACATTTATTTCTTTAGTTTCAACATTAAAAATTACATTGAGTTGGCTTTTCAAGTAAGCCTGAGAACATCCCTTGCTTTCTGAAAACACGGAGGACTATCTTACTATATGTTTATCATACATCTGCCCCTGAAATTCTCCTTATCTCTTGGCAGAATGGTAAGGCACAGCATAACAATGCTTGGTGAATGATCATGGGTATTCACTCACTGTGTATTTATGTATGTGCTTATATTTATAATGCTCAAATAAGTCATTGTGTAGCTTAATGCTAAGTGGGCAAGGAAGCTTGAAAAGGTGCTATTGCTCTCTGCAGGTTGATTGCCAAGGCTATCCGAGAAACTTCTGCACCCTGGAGTTGCAACGAATGTGTGGTTCTGATGGCCAGACATACAGCAATAAGTGCTTCTTCTGCAATGCCTTTGTGTGAGTACAGTTTTCCCATGATGAACAATCTGAAAAGGATGTGCAGGATTTGTAGCCTATTTAAGAGAAACGCTGCCTTACAAAGGGCTGGATCCAATGTTTGTGCAAGTTTCCTGCTTGTGTAGTGGATCTTCCCCTCTCTCTCCCACTCTGGCATGAGGAACCCCACACCTGTTGTAGGTGTTCCTCCAACCCTCTAAACCAAATTTGGAGCGGGTGGGAGGGCACAAGGAGAGGAAAGGGAAGTTCCATGGAACAAGTGGAAGTCCTTGCCTGAACAAAACAACCGCCAGATCCAATCCAAATAATTTTGTAACATGAAACTTGGAGAATGAAGCAATTTCATCCACTGTTGTCACCAACAGGGCAGTATCCAACTAAACAGTTGGGCTAGCACAAACACTTGGGGCTCCACAATGGAACTTCTCATTCTCTTCTCTCACCAGAACATACCGGTATTTAGGAGTTGTACATGGTGTAGGCGGAGAGAATAAGGTGAAGTTTCATTGCATAGCTCCAAAGTCCTTATACTAGTAGACCTGTCTAGTTGGAGGCCACCCTATGGTTGCCAGTTTCAAGTGACCTCTCTTTTTCAGTTGATCCTACTCACTGGTACATTTCTTCTGTTTAATAATTTTGCATCTTGTGGATTCTCACACTCTGCTTTGTCTTTCTCTCACCAGCAAAAGTCGTGGAAGGCTCTCCCTGATTAGATATGGACCATGCTATGGAGCTAGGAATGTCTAAAGAACATCCACTAAAGAATGCCTTGCTCACCTTTTAGCATCACCACAAACAAAGCCACCCACTGTTTCCTCCTTGCATTTTCTGCTTTAGTAGCTGAAGAAAACATTGCATCATCTTGATTGGATTTATCAATAAATAAGCTAAGCAGCATTATCTATCTCAGAGTCTTCTTTCCCATTCTTACACCTCATATATATTTGGGATCTGTGAAGAGAGAAAAAGTAGATGTTGCCATATCCACTAAGAGTATACAAACAGTAATATCTTGAGTTACAGTTTATGCTTGACACTGTGGATAGTGGGTTGCTACAAAATACACCTGCCTATACATAGGAAACCAGCATATCAGGCAGGGGCAAGTCTAAATTTGAATCTTTCTGTCTGATGTTCTACATTTCTAATTTCTCCACCCCACGGGGAAGCATTCAGTGATGTGATTCATGCAGCAGCAACTTGAAGCGGTGCAGTCTAGCAAGAAGATTCCACCTAAACATTAGGAAGAACTTCCTGACATTAAGAGCTGTTCGACATTGGAATTTGCTGCCAAGGAGTGTGGTGGAGTCTCCTTCTTTGGAGGCTTGACAACCATATGTCAGGAGTGCTCTGATGGTGTTTCCTGCTTGACAGGGGGTTGGACTTGATGGCCCTTGTGGTCTCTTCCAACTCTATGATTCTATGATTCTATGAAGAGCCACACCATTTAATTCTGCTGGCCACGTAGCTTGTTCTTAACATCTCCTTTGAAGGACCTCATGGCTTTGCAACTAAACCTTTAACACAAAGTTTTACAATGTCTGTTTCTGGCCTGGTAGGCTAGATAGTTATATGTCCCCATTTCCATGGGTCATCTTTGACAGATAGATAGGACAACCCACCTGGCAATCACCTGACATCATAATTATCAGATCATGGAGGATGAGTTCATACCTGCTTTATGTAGGGATCACCTGAGCAATTGCATTCCCCATGGATGCTTTCAGAGTGTCCCTATTTTGGTGTAGGACTCGGTGGCCTACTAGCAAATTCAGGTTCCCTTCCCATAACAGAGCCTGGCTTCTAAGCAGTTGTCCCTATTTGCTGAGGTGATATTATATAGCATTGTGTCACTCAGTTGTTATCCCACTCTTCCCAGTGCATTTCCCTGTCATTTTCCTTATTGCAGAAAGTCCCATTTTTGAGGTCCCCTGAAGGAAAGGGATACCTGTGGGGGGAGGAGATATAGCCAGGCCATGGCTGGATAGAAGGGACACCACAAAACAGTAGGTGAATTCATGATTTATTGCAGCTGTAACAATATAAGTTCCCTCCCTCAGTCTGACTGGGCAGTCCTGGGGGCAAGGGTGAAGGAGGGAGGGGCAGGAGTCAATGGGAAGAATGTTGTCTCATGGCTATATCACATTTCAGCTTGAGTGACAGGGGTGTCCCATGTGGAAACTGGAGGTGAAAGCACGGAACCTTAAAATATGCACATGGCAATTAATTTATGGTGGAACAGTGCCAGCTGGTATATTCAGATTTCGGATAGTCTGGTTCCCTCCAAAGATCTTGCTTAGGTCAATGTGACAGGTACATAACTTTTGCTAACACAAAATAAAAACAATAACAAAAATGTTGTTAGCAGCAGCAGCAGCAGCAGTATTTTCATGCACTATTTCACTTTCAGTGTTGAAAAGCTTTGAAAATATGAAAGAGATTTCATAAAAACCAAAAGCAGTTTGTTTTATGGGCCTTGTTGACATTCGTAGCATTCTTGCTGCCTTTATGTTTCACATTTATTCTATGAAATATCCCCAGAAATGGAAGGCACTGTGAAATGGATGGAGCCTATATCCCATGTATTACAATGCAAAGCATGTCATTAAAAAAAAATAATAATAATCCAGGGCAGCTTTCTAATATAATACCTTTATTCTTCTGGGCTCAGGTGTGTCTCTGAAGCACCTCTGACCAATGCATCCCTGTCCTCATAACGAGGAAGCATGGAGGTTATTTTACAGAAATTACAGGTCAGTGAAAATAGATGGTTTGTTCTTTGATGGCTGGGGAGAGAAGATATGGAAACTATATATCAGCACTGCTTTTTGTGGCAACATAGAACTAATCAGGCATGGATTAATCATTTTACATTTAGGAATATATCTATACCAGATCAATATATAGTATATCATCCTGGCCACTATTTCAGGTTTTGATTACTTTCCTCATCACAATTGCTTTTGGCAGGCACTGGGAGAATGATATTGGAACAGACATCTACACAGTTGGGTGTAGGGGTCAGCCGGGTACACTTGCCCCAGACCTCCGAGGGGCACCTTGGGGTCACAGGCAGGGGCCTGCTGGACTTATACTGTCGTGCCAAGAATGCCTTGTGCCTCCAAACCGACTGGGGACTCCCACACAGTCAACTTCTGCATGGGTCTGCACCTACACAGCCAAGCATCCTGGTCCTGCATAGCATTCCTTGGTAATATATATTTCATCTGTTACATTTCTCTTGCATTGTGCTTCAATCAGGGGTCAGCAACCTTTCTCAGCCATGGGCCAGTCCACCGTCCCTCATACCATGTGGTGGGCCAGACTATATTTGGGGGGAGAGGGAATGAACAAATTCCTATATCCCACAAATAACCCAGAGATGCATTTTAAATAAAAGCACACATTCTACTCATGTAAAAACACTCTGATTCCTGGACCGTCCGCGGGCCGGATTGAGAAGGCGATTGGGCCGCATCTGGCCCGCAGGCCTTAGGTTGCCTACCCCTGTGCTTCATCATCTCTTCTCCTCTCCTGAGGGCTTCCTAAAGACACACAGCAAAATTATTTTGAGTTTTACAATCTGATTGGCTCAGATTTGATGGGATTTTTATCATAAAAGGCTTGGTCCTAAGTTTCTTCTGAGCATCACAGCATCTCACCAAATGTTTTAAGAGGCATTTGGCCCAGCAGCAATAATTACATTTCAGAGAGGACAGGGGAGGACATTTCCCCCCCTCTCATCCCTTGAAACCAGCTGGGTGTATATACAGTGGTACCTCGGGTTACATACGCTTCAGGTTACAGACTCCGCTAACCCAGAAATAGTGCTTCAGGTTAAGAACTTTGCTTTGAGATGAGAACAGAAATCGTGCTCTGGCGGCGTGGCGGCAGCAGGAGGCCCCATTAGCTAAAGTGGTGCTTCAGGTTAAGAACAGTTTCAGGTTAAGAACGGACCTCCGGAACGAATTAAGTACTTAACCTGAGGTACCACTGTATACGTGTGTGTGTGTTTTATATATACACAAGCTGTACATACATACACATGATGACATTTAAATCAGCCTGTAGCGCCTTTCTTTCATCTTTTCCAGTTTGGGAACATGTCACTCATGAAGTGCTTGTTGTACATCAAACTGAATGACTAGATGTCTATTGTTCTCTTCTAATATCATTGTTTTCCTTCAAAGTACTTAAAAAGTAGCATCAAAGCCACACCCTTCCCACACCTAACAGCAGAAGGGTTAGAGTTTCATCCAAAAGTAAGCAAGGCCATTTTGGGTGCTGAGATCTCACGCGATTTTGTGTTGATCTCTCTCTCTCCCCCCTCCCCAGTGCTTTTTCCAGGGCCATGATTTTGGTGTCTTGGTGGACCACAAGCTTAACATGAGTCAACAGTGTGATGCAGCAGCAAAGAAAGCTAACACTATTCCAGGCTGCATCAACAGAATTATAGTGTCCAGATCAAGGGAAGTAATAGTATCACTCTATTCTGCCTTGGTCAGACCACACTTGGAATACTGTGTCCAGTTCTGGGCACCACAATTTAAGAAGGATGCTGACAAGCTGGAATGTGTGCAGAAGAGGGCAACCAAGATGATCAAGGGTCTGGAAACTAAGCCTTACAAGGAGCGCTTGAAGGAGCTGGGTATGTTTAGCCTGGAAAATAGGAGACTGAGAGGAGAGATGATAGCCATCTTCAAATATCTAAGGGCTGACACATGGAAGAGGGAGCATGCTTGTTTTCTCCTGCTCTGGAGGGTAGGACCTGAACCAATGTCTTCAAGCTGCAAGAAAGGAGATTCCAACTAAACATTTGAAAAAAACTTTCTGACAGTAAGAGCTGTTCAGGAGTGGAACAGACTCCCTCAGGAGATTGTGGACTCTCCTTCCTTGGAGGTTTTAAGCAGAGGTTGGATGGCCATTTGTCATGGATGCTTTAGTCAAGATTCCTACATTACGGGGGGTTGGACAAGATGATCCTTGGGGTCCTTTCCAACTCTAAGATTCTATGATCTCGTGTGTTGCCCCCAAGTGCATGTTTTTGGGGCAACATGTGAGCATAGCTCTGAAATAGCATGTCTTTTGGGCTCTGTGATCTCACGTGGGTCATGTGACACATGCGGGAATACAGGCAGGAAGTCGTGCGTCCCTGTTTTGGGGACTCAGGATGTTGCAGTGTTTGCAATGGTCAGCCAGATATACTCAGAAAGCCCACAGGTTCTACTTTGGCTGGGGGGGGGGTGTCCAGTGACAGAGCAAGTTCTCCTTTCACAAGTTAATAAAAAGTGGGGATGCTGAACACACTCTGGAATTTCCGTGTTCATCTATGCAGAGTCCCTGGGTAAACAACTCTAAGATGATAAGAACTCAGCCTTACTCTTCTGAGCAAGCCATATTACCAACCGTAACAGTACTGAGTTGAATTAATTAAGCCTTTGGAAGTCAGATTTGTTCATTTTGGTGGCCCTCTTCGGCTTCTAGGCTCCTTGAAACATTACCCTAATATCATGAAGATATTTTACCTATGACTTAAAACTGGTGTGGACACTATGAGCACAACAGGCCAGTAGTTCAGTGACTCTGATATGGGACAATCCATTCTAGGTAACAGATCTTCCGAGGGACAGGTAACAGGTAACTAGGTAACAGATCCTTCCAGGGACAGTCCCATATTTAGAGAAGCCGTTCCAGTTTCTGATTTGATCCCAGAATGTCCCGCTTTTCCTTTGGATGGCCCTATTTTCATTGGAGAAATGTTGGAAGGTATGAGGTAATGGTGGACACAGCAATGGTTTCCCTGCACTGTTCCAGCTGAAATGAATGGGAGATGAGGAAGGAGGCAGTAATGTTCTAGCACAGTTCCCATTCATTGCAGTGGAATTCAAGCAAAAGAAACACCCAGTGGATTGTCCTCAGTGCCAGATTACCAAATAGGCAGAGTTACCTATGGGTCCCACACCTTTTAGGCGTCCCACAACAATGGATCAAAATAACATTGATTTGATCTCGAAAGAAAATTACAAACACATATTAGAAGATAATTTGCAAAGGCCCCCCCGAGATTTCAACTGCCTAGGGTTGCCTGCCACAAGGTTTAATTCTGCACTGATTGTCCTGCTTATGTACATGTTTTGCAACCTAAATTGTTTGTACATTTGCTTTTGAGCTAGGTAAGGTGAGCCTTACTTTGTGGACTGATCTTGCCCTCTAAGAACCACATAAAACACTTTCAGTGTCCTTGCTGTAATCCAGTTTCATTCATTTCAGTGTCAGTATAATGTGCACTGCTGGACATCTGAGTCACAGCATGAGTCTTCTGATCTGCTGCAAGCATTACAATGGATATTCTTTGTTGAACAGGAAGGATCCATGTTAAAATTCACCCTGCCAATATTTATTCAAAGGTTCAATTCTAAACAACCCTTCAAAAATAGAAGTCACCTTCAAATACAGTAATCTCCCCCAAATATCTGCTGAAACCATCCTCCCAGGAGTGAAGATGAATCAGCCTTCCAAGTGCAGGGCAGTCCTCCATAAAATAGGCCACCCTACACCTGACATAAGTCACACATCAAGACAACCAAAATGTGTAAGGGGAGTAAGGGGAGAGGTATTCCTTAAGTACCATCATGTATTCTTCCCAGCCTGGAGTCCTCCAGATGTTCTGGACTTCCCTCCCATCAGCCATGCTGTCTAGTGCTGATGAAAGTTGTAGTTTAGAACATTTGGAGAGCACCAGACCGGTGAAGGTTGTTGTGCCATTCTAGCCAGTGAGGATGCTGAGCTTCAGAATTTTATTTTATTTTAAACAACCCTACATTGTGACCATCCAAAGCATGAGTAGCAAATCTGGGTCTACAACTTACCATTTGTGTTTCATTCTGAGGTTCCCTGCTGGACCACAGGGGCTCCCTGTTTAGGAACAAACCTATAACGTCCTTTTATCTCTTTGTAGAATTGAAAAAACAAAACTGACATTGTCTAAATAGTCCAGAGGACTGTCAGAAGCAGCAGCAGCAGCACATGAGACTCCACAAGCAGCAATGAAGTCATGCTCGTTTATATTGCCTTCTCCCAACACTTCTCGTGAACAAATTTAGACTCTGCTTCCAAAATAGAAAGCTGTGTTGGAGCCATTATGTTCTCCAAATCTCAATCCTCCTATTATTATCTTTCCTGTGCCCATTAAGAAACAGCTCATAACACGTTGAATCTACACTGCAAGGACTTGGTAAGAATCCCATGTCACCAGTGCTGTTGCCATGCTGGGTGACTGGCTGGGAAGTTCCAAGCTGTGAGAAGGCTATGATTAGGGAGGAAATGGAAAGTAGCAATTGATGGATAAATTACAAGCTCCAAGGAGTGCCTCGCATAATTATTGTTGTAGTCTGGGCTTGTTGTGGATATAGCAGCATGCCTAAAGGATGCGACAACCCCATAAACATCTGCTGGTGTCTTGGGCCAATGATTGCTCTTAAAAGAAGGTAAAGATGTTTTCTCACCAGGTGGGGCCTACTGTGCTGGGCATATAAATAAATGGAGAGTTTGATGGGTCAGAGCTTCCCCTGAGTTTCAGCACTGACAACCCATCCGCTTGACTTGAACTCAACTTATAGGAGCAGAATGAAAACTGCAGGTGTCTTTGTGCTGCTGAGCCTGGCTGTATTCTGCCTCTTCTCAGGTAGGTGAGGGGGGGAAAGGACTCCAGTGTTTAAAAAACAGCCTCAGTCTCCATAAAAGACTGTTCCCAAGAGGGAGAGGTGCTATTCCAGAGTGTACCAGAATATTTTCCTTCTACTGCTTATTGTAAAATGAATTGTGCTTCTGTTGACAACACCAGTAGGGATATTAAAAGATAAGACAATTCTTGCTTGAAAGCATCATCACCTGAGCATTTCACCTATATAAGACTGTAAGCTGTGTAAACTTCAGCTATCCAGATTCTGGTGTCCATATCTGACATAACTGCTGTTCCTCATTGTTTTCTTTTACTATACCCAATGACTTGATCAAACAGATTGACATCCACGCACCCTTGGGAATACAAGTAAGATTTATGCAGATCTGTACAACTTGGCACACACCAAGCCAAGTATGGTTTAGTAGTCACGCACAACAACATGATTAAACAGTTTTACTAATTGTACCTTCATATGGCTGTTTTAAATGGATTGGTGTTTTTTTAATGTGTATACCACCCTGGGCTCCTTTGGAAGTAAGTTGAGGATAAAATCTTAACTAAGCAAATAAATACATTAGGACAAAAATGCTAAGCTAGTGCAATGGTGCTACCTACACACATCAGGACTGCATGATTTTTGTATAATATTATGTGTACCTAACATTGACAGTCTTTCTAACTTGAGGGAAATTTTGAGCAGCAATTGCAGTATTCTTTTCTTGCTCCTCTTGCAGTTTTGTATGGTGTACACTGACCTGTCATATTTTCATGAAAGTGAAGTTAATAAAGTGCAGTTTATAAATACATACAATATTCTGATTCTATTACTCCTTCAATATTAGGTCTATAATATGTTAGTAAGCCTTGCTGTTCCTTTCTGTTACAGATGTTACCAGCCAACGTGAGGGAGAGGTCAGTGCAGCTGTTTTTATTTCCTTCTGGGATGTTGCTTGTATATGGCCCCATTTCACATCTAGACTTACTATTAGGTTGCTATGAAGAGAAGAGGTCCTATCTTGACCCTGAAAGGGATTAGCTGTCCAATCCTGTGGTCCTACACACCTGTCCTCTCCCTTTGTGTTGGCATCTGGGGAAGGGGCAAATAGAATATGGCCCTTCCAAGTTTTCTGATCAAGGCAAGCAATTTTAAGGGGCATGGACAACATTGGTTAGGCTATCCTGATTCAGAATTGGCTGTTATAAAACTGTTTAAGCTGGTATGCGGAATGGCCCTTGTTTCAGTCATGAGTGCAAACTGGCAGGACTAATAGGACCATGGGCAAAGATTCCTAGGGATCAAGGCAGTTTCGGGGGGGGTATGTTTTTTTAGGAAGCTGGCCCCCTCAGTGTTCAGATGGGATTTGGCTCTGCCCCTAGCTCCTCACGACATTGCATACATTGTGTGACATCCTGTTGGGCCCTCTCAATCATCTTGAGAATCTGGTGCCTCTGAACTATAAAGAAAACTATCACTTAAAGGCTGTTTCTTATCCCTTTAGGCTATTGACTGCAGTGAGTTTGATAACAATGAACCATACTGCACCAGGGAATCTAACCCTCACTGCGGCACAGATGGCCAGACCTACGGAAACAAGTGTGCTTTTTGCAAGGCAGTTGAGTAAGTATATTAAAGAGAGCTCTATACACACAGCGGATGAAAGTATAACTGTTATGTTGCTTTCATGGTCAGCTCCAGGCTTCAGGACTGAAAAAATGTCCACTGACTGATGTGCACTCTCTGTTGTGTTGGCTACCCCTATGCTACAGTTAGTGAAACCTATTTTCAGGATTTGCATGTCCTCTCCTTTTATGGAAATTATGTTTCCACCAACTTTATGTTTCTGCCCAGAGACCCCCAATGAATCCAGCCTTGCTAGGAATTAGTTACTTGTTGAAGTCAGGAAGAAATTCGCCTCTATACGATGTTGGAATAGGGTTCGCACATTTAAGCATTGAACAAGTGAATGTATTAGTGATCTTCTGAGACTATATTAGAGTCAAATCAGAGAGATTCCCACTGGTATGAAAAAACAACCAACCAACCTGGGTTTACAAGAGATTGCTGTTCTATGAGTTAAGACTTTACAAGGATGTATAACTATGCAAACAAGGTAGGGGAGTTTTCCCAGCATGATGCATCAGCTACAAGAGGATTAAAAGAGGGAGTTGTTTGGCTCCTTCCAAGCTGTTGGTGACAACTCTCCCTATCGTAGCAGGATTGAGAGACAGTCAGTGGATGATGTGATACAGCTTTCTGGCCCTTGAATACACAGTCAAGATGAGGTAAAATGGGAGTCAAGAAGGCTTTCCAATCACGAGAAGGTGAGGCTTGGTGCCTTGCAGAGTTCTTTGCCCCTCACCAGAACTGGCAGACAAGAAATAAATGATAAAAAAATAATTCTGCATGCAAATAATGTCCATTTCTATTATTGGTATTCTTTTTGCATGAGTCAGAGTTTAGCTTTGGCACACAAAATGTGTTGCTTTGATGTAGAGAAAAAATAGATATGTGAAAGATGCATCTTTCAGATTGTGCACTGTTTGACTGGTGTCCCTAAAAATGTCGCTGCCCTTAACAGTTGCTTGAGTTGCCTGTGGTGTTGGGCCTGCACTGGCCCTTATTGGCAGTCAAGGGGGTCGCCTGCTGTTAAATGGACTGGTCTATTTTTACTCGCTGCTATTCCTCCCAATAAACATATAGCAATTAAATCAGGACATCCCATTTTTGGGTGCCCTGCTCTCAGTAGGGCACCCAAAAACGCACATTATTGTGATGTCACATGGACCATGCGGGAGTGCAGCCGGGAAGATGCCCGTCCCGGTTTTTGGCCTCAACATGTTGGAGGGTATGATATAGGTACAAAATAAGACTATTTCAGCATCTCACAATCAGGATCCCTACAAATCAAAAATGAGAAGTGAAGGAAAATTGTCAGGACTTTTCTCTTCCTTAAAAGTTCTGAACTTGGTCTTCCATAAGTAGACTGGTATGTCATTATTCATCAGTTCCTGCCATGTATAATCCTGTTTCTTCACAGACCAATGGTTTAATTTACATGTGTAAATCCTATTTTTCTAGGAAAAGTAATGGGAGTCTCGGTCTCCTGCACATGGGAAGATGCTCTTGAAGGTTTCACTGTTGCAGCTGAACACTAAGATGTCATGTTCTACGCCGTACTGGTGAATGCTTAGAGAAGCTCTATGTAGGGGTGTGAGCTGTCATTGCTGCTATGCTTCCCTCCCCGCTTTGGACTCCTGGTGATGCTACTGTCTCCAGCACACATCTTCAATAAAGCAAAACTCAGCAGAATGTTTTGGCTCTTCTTTGTACAATGAGAAGCCTCAGAATGATGCAAAGAATATGTTCCACTTAATATTCACTAGGGGGCTCTATTGACTGGTGAGTCCGCATTCTTCCCTGTTTCCAATCTCTCTCGCTCTCATAAAATGTCTGTTGGAAAGGAGCAAACACTCTCCATGCAAAAAGTTTCAGAGAGTGTTATGTTGGGTGCAAGATAAAACTATGAATACTTTCTGTGATTTGGAAATTCAGGAGCATGGGGTTAATTGGGAGTAGGGCATGTTGTTCTGGAGACCATGGCTCTACACAGGTCTGCACATAATTCAGCGTCTGTGTTGCCTCTTTTCCTTTTCCTAATACACAGCCAGAATGATGATAGTGGCAGCAACATAGTTAAGACCCAAAAGAAAATGAGAGAGAGAGAGTTGTTGGAGCCAGGGGCCATCTTAATATCAGAGCTTGCTTTTTGAGCAGACCTGAAGATCCAAATCTGCCAGTCTAAACTAGTTTGAAGCTCCTTTTCCACTTCTTGTTGTTGTTGTTTAGTCGTTTCCGACTCTTCGTGACCCCATGGACCAGAGCGTGCCAGACACTCCTGTCTTCCACTGCCTCCCGCAGTTTGGTCAGACTCATGTTCGTAGCTTCGAGTTTTCACTATATATTACACACACACACACACACACACACACACACACACACAGTTCTGGATTCAAAGTGTGCTCACAGCCGAAACAAAACTATTTCTAAACAGCTTTTCTCTAGCACAAAAGTTCCTTTTCAGATTTTCAACATCAACTGAAAATTCGAAAGTCCTCAATTTTGCAATCTCGCCCTGTAGGTGTGTTTCATATCCGTGGCATTAAACCCTCTTTGGTGACCCATTGAGCAAAGAAATTGCCCTATTAATCCTGCAGGCAAGATGACCCAGCACCATCGAACACAATCCTGATATTCAGATCTGAAAAGCGGATCAACAAGTCTTTCTCAGCAAATGTCAGGGACAGATTTATTATCTATTCGTTTAAAAGATTCACACACACCCTTTCCACAGCTGCTCAAGACGGTTCAGCTGAAATTATATGAAATTATATGAGCTTCCAGCACATATAAAAACACAATAAAACCCCTTGTAAGCATATATACAGCACCCGATTTTGCATTAATACATATCCCATGTCATGCATAGCTCAGCTATGCTGATAATACCAAGGTTGCAGGTTTGATCCCCATATGAGACAGCTTCACATTCCTGCATTGCAGGGGGTTGGACTAGATGATCCTCAGGGTCCCTTCCAACTCTCCAGTTCTATGATTCTATGCATATGATTGTACATCTGCATGTTTCTCAGATAGCCCTATTATTATTATTATTTAAAAAACTGACTTTGGGCTAGATTGGATAGCTCCCATTGAGTCCAGCCCACTCCATGGAAAGAGAGAGAGCTGACTCCAGCTCCCCACTTCTCTTGCATATCTGCCCTACTCTAGGTCTCTCTCCATGCCCATATGGGGTTGAAATACACCTTGTGCATGTAAAATCCAATGGGCATAGGCAAAATAAAGTTGGTCTCCATAAAACAAATCCCAGTAACTGGCCATTGGATATTTGGCATGTTTGCTCTGAATTTTATACACACACCTACACACACCACAAGGATGTGTAAGGACAATTGTAGACAAGTTGGGTGGGCAAGGAGAGCAAGCATTCTCTTGCACACTTCCAAGCCTATTGGGCTAGATCAGGGGACAAACCTCACCCAGTCCTGCTCATAACTTGAAGGCAAAGAGAATACAGGTAAAACCATTTAAACAACGTTTTCAATCGGAAGACTGGAGGTTGTGTTGTTTTAGTTGCCAGACGCACTGAAAACAATGCATAGTTTGGGCAACAGGGGCAATAAATGTATGCAAAGCACTTGTTAAGGAGAATTTTCACCACAGGGTTCTCTGCAGTTCAGGTCCCACTGATATTAGTTACATCAAGGGAAAAAAGAAAAGAAGCAGAAGCAGATGGCTTGAAGTTCAAAAATCTTTTTGTGACTTTCCACTGCATCACTCTGCCAGAGAGGTGCCTTATTTATCATTTTCATCTCCCAGCTTCAGGCAACACTAGTTATATTATTGTAATTACAAGGGCATTTAGAAGACATCCTGGTGCCATCAATCTGAAGCCATGCTTCCATTCCCTTCTAATAAAGAAAGGAGCAGAAAAGACTTCAGACAGCAGTAACATTTTTAGGAATATTAGTAATTTTTTTTTTTCTAAAATGGGGACCATACAATGTGCAGCTGAATGTATGGTTGCATCCCAAATCTGAACACTTTTTTTAACCATATATATTCAAACATGCAAAATGTCAATGTTTGGTTCACCGTAATTTCTGCTTTAAACCACCTGCTAGATGAGGAAGACACTCTTGTTGTTACATTTCATTCTTCCTGGGGCAAAATATGCTTGGGGTGGGAGTAGGTAGGATTATCATGTGGCTATCATGGGAAGGAAATTAATAATAATATTATAATAATTTATTATTTATACCCCGTCCTACTGGAGGAGGAAGAGGGGTGGGGGGGAGCGCACCGCCCCCGGCAGTGCAATCCTGGTGGGGTTCCATCGTGGCTCCCCCCCCCGCCCGCACTGGGCACCCTGCCCCCAGAACGCACACCACGCCCCTGCGGGTGGCACACCACGCCCCTGGGACGCACGCCAGCCCTGCCCCCGACTGCTCTCCACCCCCGGTGCCGGAGCATGAAGCTCTGCCACTGCCCCGCCCATCTGGATGGGTTCCCCCAGCCACTCTGGGCAGCTCCCAACAGAATATTAATAATATTTTTTTTAAAGCGATAAAACATCAAACATTAAAAACTTCCCTAAACAGGACTGTCTTCAGATGTCTTCTGAAAGTCAGATAGTTGTTTATTTCCTTGACATCTGATGGCAGGGCGTTCCACAGGGCGGGCACCACTACCGAGAAGGCCCTCTGCCCTGTAACCTCACTTCTCGCAATGGGGGTACCGCCAGAAGGGCCTCAGAGCTGGACCACAGTGTCTGGGCTGAACAATGGGGGTGGAGATGCTCCTTCAGTAAGGAAACTTCCTGCGCTAAATACGCTTACTGGGATGATGCCCCATTGAATAGAAGGAGAGTGAATTTTGAGTTAGCATGCATTGATTGGGCTGCAAATATTCAAGGGGAAAAAACCATATGGTACTGCCCATGTAGGTATGAAATCTCATGTTTTAGAGCACCCACACAAAAAAGACTTTTGCTTGGCGCTTTTTCTCCTGCATTCCAAGCCCACAGGTAAGGGAACATTTGTGATGAAGCACTCCTGCATTCTCAGCTGATTAGAGAAAGCTGTGCCTCCTTCTTTTCACGAACCACATGCTTTCTTGTTACTGCTAGTTTGCACACATGTTCAAAGCACTACATATTTCTTAAGAAGTGTGGAACCTGTTTTCGAGCAAGGTGCACCATGCATGTTCTTTACCTAAACAGCTTAGAAAATGTATGGGGAACTTTTGATCCACTAGATCAGAGGTTTTCAACCTTTTCAAGTCCACAGCTCCCATGACCAACTACCTTCTTTCTGCGGCACCCCTGTGGGGCTCAGGAGCCCAGTTATGTCACCCCTTGCCTGCAGAGCTGGCAGCCTCTTACCCTGTTTCGCACACCCTTCCTTGTGGAGTGTCCCCTCAGCCTCTTCTCTTCTCTTCTCTTCTCTTCTCTTCTCTTCTCTTCTCTTCTCCCCTTGGGAGTCCTCTGGCCAGCCACTGCTGCCGCTCCTAGTCTTTGAGTCCCGCCCCCCCCATGCCCCCAAAGAGATGGTCCTTCTCACGCTGCCCAACAGGGGGCCTGGGAAGAGGATGCCCCCAGCCTTAGTGGCCCAACAGAGACTGGCAGAGATGAACGTGAGGCCAGCAACTTACCTTGGGAGGCAGCAGTGGCAGCAGCGGGCCCCACCAGGCCTGCATGGGGAAAGGCTCCCCTTTGGTGCTGGGCACTCAGCTCCCAGGCAGGTCTTGCACACAGCAAGCACAAGGACGGCCAACACAGCACCTGCCTGCCCAACCTCCCAATTGTCTGTCCATTCCCAACAGCAAGGTCTGGTGGACTGGCTGGCTGGCTTGCTTACTCCAAGGCCACCTCAGCTCCTGACAACCAGCATGCCCCTGCCTCAGAGGCACCATTTGCCTGAGGAGCTTGTAGCCAGGGATGCTTCAGTGAACAGCTGTGCAAGACTTTGGGAGGCAGAGAGGCATCAGAGGAGGAAGGGAAGGAAGGAAAGAGAACGGAGGCCAGTGTTGCCCGTGGCACCCCTGACCATAATTCAAGGCACCCCAGAGTGCCACGGCTCACTGGTTGAAAACCACTGCACTAGATTAGATTATGATGATGATATATTTATTTATGCCTCACCTTTCCCCCTGATGGGACAGAGAAAAACAATTAAACATTAATACAATTAAAACTATCTACAATATGTTTAAAATACGCAAGTATTTACAATCAGTGCTTTTTTTTCTAGAAAAATAGGTGCCGGTACTCACCATAAAGTTGTTATAGTAAGTGCCACACTTTTTAACAAAAAAAAAGAGGCGTTGGTACTGCATACCATTGAGTACCTCCTGGGAAAAAGGACTGAATTCACCTAATGTTTTGCAGTGGCCCTTCCATCCAGCCACTTCATGATGTTACTGTGTCCTGACGTCCACACGTACCTTCTCCATGGGTGCAACAAGTCAGATGGTTTGTTTGCCCTGTGGGAACGTTGCTCCCACAAGCAGGACAAAAGAAAGTGGCAGGCCTTCCCACCCCAACTTGGAAGGACAGGCATGTGCTTCACTCTCAGGCTAGGTGAGGTGAGAGTTCATGTTTTTTCCCCACTTAGCAGATTGGTTATCCGTCTCCATATATGGCGGAAGCCCTCAAAAACACCTATGGTGAGCTCATTGCATCTGACAGGTGATTGCAAAAGAATGACGTGCAAGCGAATGTGGAGCAAACCAACACACTTTCTTTGCAACATTTCTATGAAAAGCAGAGCCACTGTATTGGTGCAGTGGGGTGTGTGTGTGTGTGTGTGTGTGTGTGTGTGTGTGTAACGCAAAGTCAAGTGTCAGCATTAGGCCACTGTTCCAAGAGTGGACACAGCACCAGCCTTTAGAACTAATGCTCAGCTTGCTCTGCAACAGGCTTCCTAGGCGGGTTATTAGGTCGTTACTTTTCATTTATGGACAGAGCACCAGGGAGGTATCTCTGACGCATGCAGCTGAGAGGAATGCATCTGTATAGCTTTCAGTCTTAATCACTGTGTGTGTTTATGGTTCCTGCAGTCAAATGCTGTTTTGACAGGCCACAGCCTACGTGGCTGTAACTACTGTCAAGCAGTTGTTTCTTTCTGGTCTCCCTGCTGCGCAACATGGGAAATGGCCAAGTTATCTCAGTTATGAGTTTCAGATGTTTACAAAGCAGCACATAATTGCCCCACTTGTTCCTACAAATTGGTCTGCAGCCAAACCTCTTTAGAAATATCTAAAAAGGCCGGGACCTTTGGAGTTCTACTATTTACTACAAATCATTAAGGCAGGGGGAGAAGATGTCATCATTGCAAGTGTGCACGGAATGAGACTTCTTGGATATATATAAATACAGGGATTCCATCACTGGGGAGCATTGGGAGACTGGACACCACCAAAAGCATCGGCACCAAATCCCACTATCTGCATGATGAAGGCTGCAGCTGTGCTGATCCTCCTCCTAGGACTCTATTGCTGCTTCTTTGCCTCAGGTGAGTATAATTTTTTTTTTTTTACTTCATGAAGATGTTGACCCAGTGTGCAGCAGCTATGAAAAGGATGGTTGCTATATTATTTTCTTTAAAATTATTAAGATTTCTTATCCACTTTTTGCCATAAGATCCCAGGGTAGGTTATAACAGTCTTTAAAAATACATTCTTAAAGTCAATTAAAACAATTTAAAATCAGAAGAGTAGAGTAGGTTACATATATATATATTTATGCATGTATGCATGTATGTACACATATACACACACACACACACACTGGATTAAATGTGCCTTTTGTCCGTTCCAGGAGGATCAGGGAGTAAATAGAGTTAAGCAGTCCAATGGGAATGCTTTTGCTCAGTGCCAGAACACTTGCATTGCATGCGAAAGGTTTCAGGTTTAATCCTAAAACCCTGGAGAGACACTGCCTGTCAGTGCAGACAATACTAAACTAGATAGATCACCGGTCTCTTTCCGTTTAAGGAAGATTCCTATGTCCTGAAGGACAACATAACTCACACTCACCTTGACTCTGATACACCCAGCTCTCTGAATGTCACCTATCTTGAAAAGAATGATTCATGTCATTTATGGATATATTTTAAAATGCAGATTAATAGCAGATTAAATTGATGGATGATGTCAAAATGGCAAAAATGACTGGAAGAATCAGAAATCAGGAAAGCCAAATTTTTAATAAAGAATGCGGTAAATTTTTAATTTATCTTTAAAACCATTGTAAACAGTTTAAATTGTTAGTAGGATTGGAATAACACTTGTAGTTTAATGGTGAATTTTGGATATAATGGAGATGTAAAAGATTTGGATTATTATAAAAGATGCAGGAGGAAATGATTAAAAATAGGACCCACAAAGGGGAGGAGGGAAGTTCAGGAGATTCTATGGAATCTTGTCTTTATGTTCTATGTTGGATATGTGATTGTAAAACTGTAATTTGAAAAACCAAATAAATAAATTAAAAAGAAAATGCAGCCCAAAAGGTAAAATTTATTTTTAGGTCTTGGAGCCAAAGGAGATAGCCTAGGGCTTCCTTTTTGCACAAAGGGCCCATTGGGATGCGGGTGGCGCTGTGGTCTAAACCAGGGAGCCTTGGGCTTGCTGATTGGAAGGTCGGTGGTTTGAATCCCCATGAGGGGTGAGCTCCCGTTTTTCTGTCCCAGCTCCTACCAACCTAACAGTTCGAAAGCACGTCAAGGTGCAAGTAGATAAATAGGTACCGTTCCGGTGGGAAGGTAAACGGTGTTTCAGTGCACTGCTCTGGTTCACCAGAAGTGGCTTAGTCATGCTGGCCACATGACCCGGAAGCTGTACGCCGGCTCCCTCGGCCAATAAAGCGAGATGAGCGCCGCAACCCCAGAGTCAGTCATGACTGGACTAAACTGTCAGGGGTCCTTTACCTTTGCCTTTAATGCACATAAGCAATGTGAGCGTGCTAAACTTTTCTCATTACAAGTGATGTACATTTGCTTCTTATACCAGTAACCCCTTGAAAGGCCAGTGAGGGATGTCAGTATTCTCATCTCCATTTTGCAGATAAGGAACTGAGTATCACTGGTAGTGGCTACCCTGAGACCACCCAGTGAAGACATAACAAAAGTAAAATTTGAAACATGAAATCCGCAGGTCATCACCCTAGCATCAACAAACCAAATGAACATAAAGAGAGTGGTGACCAGTGGCAAAGGGCTGCCTGGACCACTCTGCAGCTGCCACCTGGGAGGGATCCTAGTTGTTTTAATTGGTGCAGCTAGGTGGCTATGGCCAAGAGAGTGTGACAACAGGAGTCTTTATAGAGCAGCAGAGGTATCAGCAAAGTTACACCATCTCTCTACACTGGCCTTCAAAGACCTCTACATAGGCACCTCCACACACAGTGGCCTTTTTGTGCTCTCCAGCCCTCCCAGGCTTGCCGCTGGCCAGGGTGACGTAAGGACCACACACACAAACAATCAATCACGTAAGGCTGGTGTTGTGCAAATTCTGTGAACACTGACTTTTAGCACAGTGCTCTGAGTGGTTTGCCAAAGGTGTGCCAAAGGTGAATGTGTGGGTAGTTCCACTCATTCATATTATTATCATAAGAACCAGCATTTCATGTATCTTGATGAATTTGTATGTATATTCCCAAGTGCAATGAGGATCAGGTTATTTTATTTTTGCTTTCTCACACTGTAAAAGAAAATATAAAATTGAGAAGCTTTTACACAATAAGCTTTAATTCAGTTTTTAAAAATGGTTTTCATCTCTGTTGTTTCTTTGCTTTCTCTTGCAGATGCTCATCATTCCTATGAGCCACAGGTGAGTCCATCTGTTGATTGTTTCCTGTGGATATCTAGATAGTAATAACATTTTTGAGCAAGATCCCTTGTGTGGAAACTAAATAAAAAGCCTGTTATTACACCACCATGAGAAATGGAGATCCTGAAACAAATCTTACCGTATTCACTTAGTACAAGTCTCATAATGCATGTTCCAGACATGTGATGATCCCTTGCCTGAATTCACATCCATTGGACCTCAGTGAACAGACAGGAGGAGTGGGGGCAGCTTTAAGTATTCTGGCCTCAAGTCCTGCACTTCACAATTTCTTTATGAATCCACAAAATATGCTTGTGTATCCATCCAGACACTGGTCACAGGAGACATACTGTCTCTCAAAACATAATGCAGTTCTTTCTGCTGAGAGCATAGTTCTGGGAGTCTGAACAGGCAAAGTTCTGTTCATTAGGAAACAATATCAATAATATCAAAGATGAAACTTCCAATACCATAATGCCGTACTCCTTAGAGTACTCCTCAGAATAGATCCATTGAAATGAATAAACATGACTAGCTTAGGTCCATTTATTTTAATGGCTCTACTGTCTATAACTTGGAATTCTGTGTTTACATGCTTGGCAAAAAAATAAAAATAAAATAAAAGGGGGGCAGGCATCCTGGGGGTGGGGTGAGGGGACTTTGACAACCACCAGCACACCCACCCAATGTGTTTTGATTATATATGATTTTAACTTTATGTGCTATCCATGGAACACAACTCCTGCATATGTTGCTGGTCTACTGTATAGTTCTGCCACTTCCATTCCTTAAACTGAATACTGAAAAAGGTGCAGAAGAGGGCAGCTGGAATGATCAAGGGTCTGATTTGACAAAACAGGACATTCTGGGGTTATGTGCTGTCTTTGCTCACAAACCTACTTGAGCTGATTCCATTTTCTGTAACCAGGAAAAGCACATATGCTTTGGAGTTTGCATAATTTCCCCAAGGCTAAAAAGGCGAAGAGAGCAATTCAGTCAGGATTTAAATTCAGCGGTGCCAAAGTGGTCGTGGTTTTAAGAAGAGAACCTTTCCCTTTTCCAGGTTGACTGCAGTGCTTATATGAAGCTTTCCGACAGGACCAAACCTAAAGGATGCACCCTGGAGTACTTCCCAGTATGTGGTTCCAATGGCCAAACGTACACCAACAAATGTCTCTTTTGCAGAGCAGCCATGTAAGTAGGAAAATAGCACTCCTGAATAAGTGAAGCAGAGATAAGCTACTTTTGTGAAGGGGGCACATGACTCCCATAATGTGATAGACTCATTCAGACATCAATGCTAGTGTTGTTGTATTTACATGATAGTGCTCTCTCATGCCCATATAAGTAAATGCACAGAGTACAATAACACATTTCAAGGCAGTCATCCTCTGAGCCAATGCCAGCAAGCCTTTCCTCATATCCTCAAGGTTAGTGGTGGTGTCAACACAAGGGATGAGAAATGATTTCAATTTTGCTTGCATTTTAATGAGAAATTACCTAATTTCTACTTCTTAAAGCAATATGTGAACCGAAACACAACAATCCTTTAAAATTCATGCTTCTCTGAATTTTGCAACGTTGTTAGAAACATAGGCAGCTGCCAGATGCAGAATCGGTCCATTGGTCCACCTAGCTCAGTATAGCCTACACACCAACTGGCATCAGCTGTCCAGGATTTCAGGCAAAGGTCTCTCCCAGGCCAGCCCTACTTGCAAATGCCAGGGATTGGAACTAGAATCTTCTGTATGCAAAACAGGTTCTCTACCACTGAGCTGCACCAGTTCTCCTAGCAGGCAATGCATATATTTGGGTGAAGTGTGCATTAAACTGTATACATTTATGAAAGTAACATACAGAAATGCATTCTGTTGAGGGAAATTGCTTGTAAAAAAGGAATGCATGTTATTCAAAACTGCATGCTAAATGCACACATTAGCGGAGATTCACACTAATATGCTGGCAGAAATATGGAAAACTGAAATTAAGATGGGGAAAACGAGAAACTGAGAGAAACCAAAATGGACATGTTTGTCCATCCCTAAACCCACAGAAATTTCATTTCTGGAACATGGGGGATCAGCAGAGGCACTGAGTCAAGGTTTTTCTCTAAGGCTATCCACTTAGGGCACTAGAGCTAGTGCAGCTGAACTCCAAATCAAGGTTCCTGGTTTGAAGGTTGTCTCTACTGTGAACTCACTAGGTGGCAATAAGCAAGCCACTCTCTGTCAGCTTCTATTCCACCCCATCTGCAGCATTTGGCCTAATAATACTGACCTATCTGACAGCAAGGCTGGGGAACCTGGGGCCCTCCAGATCTTTTTGGACTCCCATCTGCCCCAGTCAGTATGGCCAAAGGTCAGGGGTGATGAAAGCTGTAGTCCAGCAACATCTGGAGGGCCACAGGCTTCACATCTGTGTCTGATCAGATTGTTGTATGGATTGCAACCAAGTGCGTATGACACTTAAAAACACTGTGCAAATGTTAAGTATTGTTATTAGCTTTGTTTTATTTTCCTGTTTTCGCCCTAGAGCAAGTCAAGGGAAGATCCATTTTAAGCATTATGGGAAATGCTGAGTCATTGCCGCACACAGTCTATGGAGGCGTGTTCCGTTCATCTCTGGCAGCTCTGCCTTGCTCTTTTCAACTCATCCTGCCGCATCCTAATCCACTCAAGCTTTTGTTCTTTTCAAGTTTCTCCTGATCTGTTGATTTAAAATAAAGACTTCCCAGTCTTATGTGGAATGATTAATTTTCAAGAAACATTTGCAGTAGCACACTAAACCAGGACCTAAGCTCAGTGTTAAGTGCTTTCACTGCTACTTGACACACCCAGAATCTCCAGGGTCATATGGTGAGGTTTCACACCAGCAGCAGATGCCACCAGGAAATCTAGCACAGACATGGATACTCTTCACATAAACTGGGGAAGATCTATGTGACAACCTATGCTGTGACAACCTATCTGTGGTGTAATGATCTCTGGCAGGCAACCAAGCCCCGATATGAAGTAATAACTCTCTGGCAGTTTTATGTACTTTTATTTACCAAAAAAGACACATCCACAGCACAGCTTCTTGCCTGCTCGTATTTACGATAGTTGGTCAGTCTGAAATTTTGCCCCTCCCACAGCAGGAAGGACGCCAAACTCCCGCCTTTCCCCTCTTGCCCTTCCGTTGCCATCTGATCTTTTCCTGACGCCTAGCATGAGGACTGAGAGGCTGGCCTGCCCCCTTCCCACTGCTACTCGACCCAGACTCAGATCTCTGCTTATCTGCTGATTGCCTAGCAACGCTCTAGCTGCCTTCCAGCTCTTCTTCATCTCGAGAGCTAACAGAGTTTTCCCCGGGAAGGAGGGTCGAACTGCCCTTTCTCGACTGACAGCCAGCTGTCATCTGCAGAGTCTGCCCCTCGTTCGTTTAGTTCAATTTCTGAGTCTAACTCTTCTCCTGCGCTCGGGGGGGGGGGGAGTTCCTGATATCTGGGAAGAATTCACACATCTACGTGCTTCTTGCCAAAGGGAAGGCTGACAGCTTAGGCTCACAAAACAGGAGCCGTATGATATATGATTTAGAGTCATGTAAGAACAAATTCAGATCAAGCACCACTAATTAAACATGTGGCACTCCAGCATCAATCCACAAAACCCACGGCCACTCGCCCCATTTTTTGACATTGGAATTGTTCTCTGTTGCCTGACAGGGCAATATTTAATTGAATAGGGTTAAAGGAAAAGATGGTTTCAGCTGAACATTAGGAGAAACAACTTAGTTCTAGGAGCAGCTAGTTCCCTACATGAGCAGTGTTGGGTTCTCCTTAAGTGAAGGTCTTGAAGCAGAGGCTGAGAAAGCCACCTCTGAGTTTTTGCCTCAAACAAGGGGTTGGAGTAGAAGGCCAACAATATCCCTTTCAAGTCTATGCCCTACCTAGGCTATTACTGTGCCATTCAGATCAGTATATATATATACACACACCCTAGTTCTAGTTTGTGCTGAATTTCCAATAAATTATAAAATATGGATGTTTTTGTAGGGAGGGAAGAAATGTAATAAATATTAAAACTCATCCTTTTCCATCTCTGTCCAATGAAATCCAGTTTTGCAGAAGGGGGAGCTTCACACCAAGTTGGGCAACACTTAGATCTGGGCTTTGCTGCATCACCACAGAAGGAAATTGTATCACTGGGGGACAGCCGTGGAAAATACCCCTTCATACTTCTAATCGCTCTTTAATATAATATTCAACATGGGTGGTAATTTTAAAAAATGTGTGTGGGGGGGTACTCTCAGAAATAGGACCTAGGGAAGGATATGGTCTGTGAGATTTGTAGGGTCCATGTATTTCCAGGCTTTACATATCATAACCAACACCTTGGGATTGAGCCTAAAAGATAATAGGGAGGCAGTATAAATGCTAGAACAGAGGTATAATGAACTTATAAATATTATTGTTAATTGTTTATTTGTTGCTCGCCACAGAAAAAAGTCTCTAAATTCTTTTTTTCAAGAACTTTCTAAAAAATTTAAAACTTAAAATCCAAGGTGCAGGAGATTTAGCAATGCATTACAATAATATTCATACAAAAATCCAAGGGCTCGGAAAAATTACAGCAAAATGTATCACTCATCAAAATCATCATAATCTGTCAAATGCTTGCAAAACATTATCAAGGGCAACCCTGTGTAGAACACAGTAAAAGTCTCCAGCAATTGAGTAATGGTGGCCAGACACAAATTTGACAGAAGGGATCAGTCTTCTTAGCCTTTAGCTGCAGGTGTAACCTGGGCTTACTGGTGCAGCTTCAGATTCAGAAGCACCTCAAAGTTTTGATGCTGCACAAACAGCAGAGGATGAATCATATTGTTGATGGCAGCCCCTGTCATCTCTGTAGCTCACAAGACCTGCCAGATTACCTGCCCTTCCCCAGAAGGTCCCAGGGCAGGTCACAGGAATGTTAAATACAAGATTAAAACAATTTAAAACAAGTTACAGTTACAGCTAAAGTTGGTCCTAAATATCTCTCTCTCAAGTGTCAAAAGGTAAAGAGGTCATCTTCAGTACACAATGAAAGCTGTATAATGAAGGTGCCAGAGACACTCTGTGGGGAATGGAGTCCCACAATTTACAGGTTTCATGAAGAATGCCCTTTCCTAGGTTGTCCTCCCCTCTGAACCTCTGAGGGTGATGGAACTACCACAAGGGCTTCCTCTGCTGATCTTAATAGCCAAGAAGGTCTGTAGGGAAGGAGGTGGTCTTTCAGCTATTTGGGGCCTAAGTTGTTACAGGCAATAAACACTAGAGTGAGCATCTAAAATTGAGCCCAGAAACAAACTGTCAACCATTGTAGCTGTTTTAAAACAGGAGTTGTATGAGTTCTAAATGGAACCCAATCAGAAATCTAACCACTGCATTTTGGACCAGCAGAAGTTTCCAAGTTGTCTTTAAGTCATCTTTAAGTCATCTCGGTCTACACCATAGCTAAATCCTACACTAAGCAAGGACTGAAACCAAAGGAAACCCAATTTATTCCATCGCCCATATACTCAGCACAACTGGTGGGTTCCTATGTCAACTTTTTCTAAGGCAGTTTTTATTAGAGATAAACCTGCCAATCCCTCGTAGCTGAGATTTCCACTGTAAATCCAGGAGCAAAATATCATGAACAAATATTGTGACACTGACATTACATCTGTTCATCCTTCAGTTTAGCCATTATTTGATTATTCTGCCATCAGTTTAGCAGGGAAAGTTGAGCAACTAGTGTTTGCAGGAAGGGCTTTAGGGTAGCCTTTGCTTAACTCTAACTTGAAATCACGGGACAAATTGCTAATTACAAAGCACAGCTAGCAACCTTGCAGAAAAAGATGTAAAGGTGAACAGGACAAAAGGCAAGTCTGTTCCTCATTCTTCAGGCATCAGTACTTCTGCTTGGGTAACCTGCTTCTAGCGTTCACTGAGGATGATTCTGAGAAGAGGGTGATTTTTCCATTAGGGTGGAGCTTCTGCCCCCAAGCATGTTGTCAAAGGCCTTCCTCTTGTCAGAAGACTTTAAAGGAAAACGTTCCTTAAGGCTGGACAGGGCAGTCTCGACAGCTTCCCCAACCATGAAGATGGCAGCAAGCCTCTCTCTGGTTCTTGTGGTGGCTATTTCCTGCCACATTTCAGGTAAGCAGCTTTTGTCAAATTTCTCCATTGCAAGGCACGACTGCCTCCTCTGAAGAGGTAGGAAAGAATGAATAGGCAGTCAAAGGCATAAAAAGGATTAAGAACATGGCTGTCCAGGAACTTAATGGTCCTGGAACAATTTGGCCCACAACCTGATTACTAGGCCTGTAGCCCTATTTAGGGAGGTTTTTAATGTTTTATTGTGTTTTTAATACTTTGTTGGGAGCTGCCCAGAGTGGCTGGGGCAACATAGTCAGATGGACAGATGATGATGATGATGATGATGATTACCACCACACTGGGCATAAAAGCCTTTCTAAGCATGGCCCTTCTAATGTATTGTTTAAGTGAAGGAGTGCTAGCAATCTATCTCTCTATGTTGCCAAGTTTTCATTGCTGGAGAACAAGCCAAATATACAGTAGCACCTTGGTTTTCAATCATAATCCGTTCCGGAAGACTGTTCAACTTCTGAAACATTAGAAAACCGAGGCGCAAAGGGCAGTCTGCAAATGCAATGGAGAAAATGGAAAGAAAGAAAAACTCAGTGGGAGCCGTTTGACTTTTGAGGCACATTTGAAAACGGAAGCATTTACTTCTGGGTTTTCGGCATTCGTCAACGGAGTCATTCAAAAACTGAGGTACCACTGTACTAAAATCAAATAAACTAGTGAACTCTCCACTTGCCAAACCATACACACAGAGAGACACAAATAGATCTATAGATATACAACTCTAAAGATCTGTTCTCTAAAACATGATACACTGGTGATTAATCAGGCAGCAAAACTGCAAAAGATGTAATGAATTCCTCCCCCCACCTCAATATCAATTAGCAAAACTTACTCCTAGCCCAGTTCATAGAACAGAGTTGAAAGAGACTTCAGAAGGCAACTAGTCCACCCAACCCCACTGATGCAAGGAATGTGCAGCATCCCTGGTAGATGGCCATCCTGTCTCTACTTAAGAACCTCTGATGAAAGGGAGTCCAAGGCAGTCTGTTTCATGGTTAAACAGCTCATGCCACTAAGACATTTGCTCTAAAATGTAGTCAAAATCTCCTCTCCTGTAATTTGGGTCCATTGGTTCAGAACTCAGCTTCTGGGGCATGCATGATACCAATTTGCTCCATTTGTTACAGATAATTGACCTGATATTAAGGTGCCCCATTCGAGAGAGGTTTTCTCTCACCATACCTTGTATGTCTCCTTCTTATTCCAGGAGTCGCAGGACAGGGCAAACCGCCGGTAAGTTCTTCTTTCCTATTTTCTCTTGGCTTTTCCCCACCCCAGCCTCTTATGTCGCCCCATTGTTGCCTATCGTGTTGCATGTTTAGGAACATGTGTGTGTGTGTCATGCATGATTCCCAAAACTCACAAGACGTGGGAACTCAGTAAAAACCGAGCGCTGTTCAGAAAATGTGTTTTAAAAGTTTCATCATGCCGTACCAAAGTTTCTTTGGACACTCAAAAGTCTCATCCATTTATTATTTTTAAAAATACCAAGAAATTGATCATGAATAATAAATTGGCCAATAGGATGCAGCATAAACATGAAATGACAGGTGCAATATTTTAACCCATTCATTCCTAGTCTAAAGAAGTAAGAGACCTAAACTTTAACAGAAATGAAGTAGTGGAGTTATGAAACTCCTGGAAAATAGAGAGATTCCAAAGGGTTTGAATTGTGTTCCTGAAGAAGTTCTTACAGCTCTTAATGATATTATATATTGTATAAAGGTGTAATGTTGGGCATAGTAGGGTAGGGTGCAAGAGTGTGTGTGTGTGTGTGTGTGTGTGTGTGTGTGAGAGAGAGAGAGAGAGAGAGAGAGTAATTGGGGGTTCTGTCAACACCAAAGGTTAGCATCAGGAGTTTCAATGCTCAAGCCTCCTCTTAAAACTCATCAGCTGTGCCGAAAACTGAGTTACTCTCAGGTTTTAGTATGGCAGCCAAGGAGGAAAACTCAGCAACAGAATTTCCTTACCTCACAGCCTCTTAGTCTGGTGGGCACTGCTTGTAATAATAATGATGATTATAAAGATGATTGACTGAATGGACATCCCACATAACCATGAAGACAATCTGCAGCGTAGGCACATCTGGTAGAAAAGTTACATATTTTCATGTCAGAAAACCTTTCCTCGTTCTCTTTTTCATGTCAGCATTGGCCTGCTTCATACAAACTAATGAGACTAAAATATTATAAACGTGATAGTTTTTAATATGCTTGGTGTAAATTCCTGCATTTAGAGCAAACAATCTGTGTTTTACTAATTCTAATGTCTCATAAATTATCTTGGTTGACACCAGTGTCTGTCTGGAGGAAACAGAAAATTTAAAAATTACCAGTTTGTGAGCTTTCCCAGTCAATGGTTTATTAAGTGCTTGCCTTCTTGCAGTTTCTGGAGACAGGAAGTCTGTTGCTGCATTCTGTGTCACACGCTAAGGCTACAGACAGGGGCCTGTCATCTTTCAAAGGGGGGGGCATCTCTGACAGATTTCCTCAGTAATTTTAATCTTTATGGCATTTCACATTCTCTGAGCTGAATATTTACACTGTGGTAAAGAGGATACAGTAGTAAGTGATAAATAGATATCTGGCTCCCTTTATTCTGCTTTTTGATTGAGCAAATAAATTGCATCTCACATAAGAAGGGCTTGTCTTAAAAATGCAAGTGCTTGTTTTAAAAATGTAATAGGGGGAAATGATAAAAGAAAGAGTATTTTTACATAATTAATATAGTGAAAAGCAGTGTGATAGAGATTGACCATTTTGCGTCCCTTGATGTTCAAATAGGCACAGCATCACATTACCGAGCATATTCTTAGGAAAGTAAAATTATTTTTTAGGGAAAAAAGTTAGAAATGATCAAGAAGATGTTGCATCTTTTGTAACACCTCAAGGGAGGCTATATCAATCATGTGCTGTGTAAGTTGGGAGAGCATAGAAACATGGCATGAAATGCACACCTGATTTTTCCTGCATAAAATAAGCAAAGTTTGAGCGTAAAGCACCAGCCAAGGAAGAAAAAGCAACTCCTGACACTGATTTGGAGCCTTGTTCTGTGACATCATTTCTCCCACAGGACTGTGCTGAGATTCTGAGAGAAGCTGTGGCCAATCCCTACACCTGCAGCGCAGAGACTGGCCCCGTCTGTGGCACAGATGGCTGGCTATACCGCAACAAATGCGACTTGTGCACAGAAGCATTGTGAGTGAACTCAGCAAGAGATGTTTGGGATGGCAGTCTAATGATTAGGAGCTGGGAATGTAAACCCTTGGAAGTTTGGAAAGCTTGGGACAGAAATGGCTCCTAAAGCAGGAATGAACAACATCTGCCCATGTTGTTAAATTGTTTCTGTGGGATCTCTTCTGGATGGGTTCACATGACCACCCACAAGAAGTAATTAGTCAGCATAGACTCATTGAGGGATGTGAGTTGATGTTATACAAGGAGCAATGTACCATATTTTTCCGTCTATAATACGCCCCCATGTATAAGATGCCCCCTATTTTGGGGGACTCCAATTTAAGAAAAAATTGTGTATTTTACTATCCGTGTATAAGACGCCCCCAAATTTTTGACATTATTTTTTAGGGAAAAACCTAGTCTTATACTCGGAAAAATACAGTATATCATGCATGTTCCCTATCCAGAGGTAGAAATGGTGAAGAAGGTCATCAAGACACTTGCTATAAATCCACCAGCATTAAGGGAAAATGCATATCACCACATAAAAGCAGCTGCTTTTATTTATTTAAATATGGCATCACAGCAAAGGCACCATCTGACTTGTTCACCAAAAGTGGTAGTATGCAGATTGCATGCCACCATTATAATTTGCAGCAATGGAAATGTAAGAAAGTCTCCCTTCCCAACATCTAGGGACAACATCTAGGTCAGGTGCAGCCAACTGGACTACAACTCTCATCATCCCTTGGTGGCTGGGGCTGATGGGAGTTGGAGTCCAACAACAGGGATGTGTCTGGCTCCATCGTTGGTGAGGATGCACCTCCTTACTCTGATCTTTGACAATATTGGTATGTTTATGGGAATCACCTTTTCTGATTTTGTTTAACCTATACTGTGCTGCTTTTGTTTGGGATTATTTTGCTTGTTTTTATAAGTATGGAACTGCATGTGGAATGGTAAGGAGGTGTCCTTTGTCTCAGGTAGCAAAATGTCTTGGGGAAGTTCTGACCTTTGTTGTTAAATTGACAGTGACTTGATCACTGAAAGTAACCTTACTATCTACTTTCATGTAGGGCAAGAGGGTCTGGTATTGGCATAAGAGATCGGAAACAATGCAAGATAAAGGTACTTGCTTCCATGTTTAATTTATGCATGCAGGCATTTATTTAAGTAAAAATATATCCTGCCCTTTTAAATTAAAACTTCACAATGTATCTATAAATATATGCAAAAATATTTCATTTTGTTCAATTGCACATTATGATGACTAGACCGGCTGAATCATATGCTAGCTAAGGTGGTCTTAGAGGCGGTGAACTCCTTCAGAGTGGTTGAATCTGGATTTAGGACTGGGTTTGGCACTGATATTGCCTTGGTCAGCCTGACGGATTATCTGTCTTGAGAAAGAGCGATGGGGAGTGCAACTCTATTGATTCCTCTTGAACTCTCAGTGAATTCCGAAACCATTGATCATAGTATTGCCTTGAAGCAGCTTCATTGGTTGGAGGTACACTGTATAGTGGTTCCACTCCTAGCTCCAAATGTGGTTTCAGAGGGTAGCAATGGGAAACTTTTGCTTGGCCCTATGGAAGCTGACCTGTGGCGTTCTGCAAGGTTTGTCTCCTATACTAACCTTTATACAAAGCCATTGGCAGCAGTGATGAGGGTATCTGGAGCAAGGTGTTCTGTCTCAAGTGTGCAGATGGCATCCAGTGTTTTCCCTCTGTTCCATCTGAAGCAGGAGAGGCAGTATTACTGTTGGCATGCAGTAGTAGGCTGGATGTGAGCCAATACATTGAGGCTGATGGTCAGACAGACAGACTCTTTTAATGCACTGTGGCAACATTTTATTGTACATATATGTTCTCAGAAGATAGCCACTCAAATGGATAGGATGCTATGGAACAACTTACTGAGGACAGATTGATACTGTATTTGACTATTAATACACACACACACACAGAGAGAGAGAGAGAGAGAGAGAGAGAGAGAGAGAGACTTTCTCATACTCTATGTAAGCAGCCTTCTACCATTTCATGTTTTGGATTTCATGTCAGTTAATTTAAAAAAAATAAGAATAATAAAGAGAATCCAGCCAAGACAGAGGTACAGTGGGTAATGGGTTTTTGGGTCTGGGTTTTAGAGAGATATCTCATATCTCATAGAACAGGCATAGGCAAACTCAGCCCTCCGGATGTTTTGGGACTATAACTCCCATGATCCCTAGCTAACAGGACCAGTGGTCAGGGATGATGGGAATTGTAGTCCCAAAACATAGAATCATTGGAAGGGGCCCTGAGGAACATCTTGTCCAACCCCCTGCAGTGCAGGAATATGTAGCTGACTGAACCTGCAACCTTGGTGTTGTTAGCACCACGCTTTAACCAGCTGAGCTCTCCAGCTAAGATGTCCTGTTCCAGGTCAGGCTGCATTGCCCTTGAAGGAGTGGAGGTCTGTAGCTTAGTGGGGAGGTGCTTCTGGAACCAACTTTGTCACTTGACACCTAGCCATAGTTCTCCATTATCTGTATTGGGCTACTGTAATGTATTTCATGTGGGACTGCTGTTGAAAATGGTCCAGGGGTTTCAACTGGTGCAAAATACACTAATGGGTACAGCGGTCAGACGCATATAACACTTATTTTGAAAGAACTGCACTATTGCCCATTTTCTTCTGGGCCCAATTCAAGGTGCTTATGATGATATATAAAGCCCTAAATGACTTGGGGCCCAGATATCTGAAAGAATAGCTTCTCCCATACCAACCTGCCTCAATATTAAATAAAAGGCTTTTAAAAGAAAAGAAAATGTGATTTTAGTTCCCTGAAAGCATTTGTTGATGTTTTAATAATGGGTTTTGTGTGTGATCTGTTTTAGTTTTGAGTCATCATTTAATCGCATTTCCCACCCTATGAACTTCTGATCGCGGGCAGGTTATAAAGACTTTAAATAAGTAAGCATCCTTAGCTGCGCCATTCCATCCTGCATTCAGTTACCACAAGGCCAGACATTCAATGGGTGTGTTGAACACTCAATTACTATATTTTCAGGTTGACTGCTCCTGGTTCATGCCACATTGGTTCCATAGGTCTTCCACCTGCCTCAAATTTCATTACCGATTCCATGATTCTGGGCCTGTCTGTGGCACAGATAATAAGACGTACAACAACAGGTGCTTGTTGTGTTCAGAAATCTGGTGAGTGTTATTTGGCAAAGTGGGTGGGGAAGAGAATTGACACCAATCCAATGGCCTGTCTCAATGCATGCAATCAAGTCAAGTCACCTAGATGATGAAGAACATAAGAAGCTGCCTTATAGCAAGTCAGATCATTGGTCCATCTAGCTCAATACTGTCTAGACCAGGCCTAGGGAACCTATGGTCCTCCAGATGTTGTTGTTCTCCCATCCCATGGCTATAGTCCTCCAATATCTGGAGGGCCACAGATTCCCCACTCTTAGTGTAGACTGACTGGTAGCAGGTGTCTACGGTATCAGATAAAAGTTTCTGCAGAGACTTGAGACTTTCTGTATGCAACCTGAGACCTTCTTCATGAAAAGCATGTGCTCTTTCCCTGAGCTGTGGTCCACATAATTTAACAGCTCATGAGTCCTATTTTATTATTATTAGCCATGTGAATATTCCACTTTTAGCTCCATGCTGCCTCCTTTAACAACCTGTATTTTGGGGAGATGTTCTTTTTATGCACTCTCTGTCTCTTTCCCCCCAGGAAAACTAAAAACTTTAACCTTGGCATAAAGCACCATGGGAAATGTAAAAAATAGGTAAGCTCGTATGTTTTCTGTATTACAACTTTAGGGTCACCTGATGATCCCCCTTTTTCATAATACAAATTCCTATTCATCAATGTAGGGGGATTTCTTGTAGGAAATCCAAACATCTCAAGGTCATCACCTGGTTATGGTGTTGATGTTAGACTCCTTTAGGGCACCCCCACAGAGACAGAACCATTACAGTTGTCCACCCACCACATTCACAAAGACTGTGGATTCAGTCATTTCAATAATGTTCTGAAGGACAGGGTCTTTCCTCAGAATGAGGCATTCTGGGCAAAGGGTCCCTGGAGAGTACATAAGCCACCATCAATTTTCCTGTAAACTTTCAACTAAATTTAAGGATCATTTCTAGACACTGAGGGGAAGGGTCCACAGCACAGGCAGTCTCCCAAGCCACACCAAGAACACCTTCCTCTGAGGAAGGTCAATATTGCTTGGAGTGAAGCAGAGGGGGACACACAGAGAGACGGCCAGCACTGCCACCAAATTAGCAGCAGCAGGGTTAGGTGTGTTTCAGGATTTCAGTGTTATTGAATGTTTCCCCTCAACACAAATTACTAAATCCGAACACCAAAGACTTGTCTTTCGTCACAGAAGCCTTGCACTTCTAGTGGATTCTAGATGTGTTTGTGCTCCATGGGAGGCACTGGCCAGGGCTTAAAACACACCCAACCCTTTCAACAAGTTTATTGAATCCATGATGTTCCAAGGTTAGGTCTTTTCACTGAAAATAGATCACAGGTCTAAGTCCTGTTGAGTCACAGCTCAAATTAACTTAGGGGTGGAGGACTCCAACTCCCATTGACCCCAGTCAGGAGTGGAAGTCCCACAACCATCTGGTAGGCCCCAGGTTCCACACCACTGAATTAAAATGTAAGGGTGGCATTCAAGTTTTACTCAAGAGCACACCCACTGAAATTAATGAACGTGTTTAAGCTGGGTCCCATTATTTCAGAACATCTCTTCATAGTTGACTACCACCCTACATGTTCACAGATGTGGTATATTGCATAATGAGTCAAAAGTGTGTGGGGGGGAGTAAGGTTGTTGGTAGGCCAGGGACATCAGAGTTTCATTACTTGTCTTTGACTGAGCTCATCCACACTTCGCTTGTCCTGCGGTCTAGGCATGGGTCCATTTGCCCCACCACTTTCCCTGGGAAAAGCCGCTCTTTACCTCTCAATTGGAGCAAACATCCATCTGCAGAAAACCTAACTGACATTTGCTCCAATTCAGCAGTAAGGAGTGGGTTCCCCAGGGGAAGCAGTGGGACAAGTGAAAGTGCAGAGGAACCCATTATTATAATGTACAGTAATTTTTCTTCTTTCTCCCTTTCCTTTCCAAGGCAGGCGATGAGAACAACTGGCATGCAGCACGTATAACCATAAATTTGATGTTTCCAAGAAATTCCACTAGGCTCCTGCCTATGCACAAAGACAGGCAGGCTAAACCTAATAATCTCTTCTTATCTAATGTATTCTACCTCTCAGAAATAAAGCGACATAAACTGAGGCAAATTTTTAATCCTGGCTGGTTTTTCTTTTTTTAATCCAACCAGTTAATCATACATGTGTTATGGGGAGGGGGTGACAAAGAAAATGGGTGCTGGGCCAGTGGGGGGGGGGGATCTCCAGTACAGTATCTGTATGTTATGAAAAGTTCACAGTAGCTTCCATAACTAGTCACCCTCTGCCCCACCCAGCAGCTTCCAGTGGCAACATAGTGAAACTCTTAAGGCCTAAGGTTCTCTTAGGGTTCTCTCAAAGCATCAGAGGAGTTCTGTGGAACCAAGAAAAGATTATCCTAACAGCAAGACTATTGAGTGACAGGAGAAAACCTGCTCCTCTCAAGTGGGCATGAGTGCCCATGGGGTAGGTGGGAAGGCGGGTGTCCCCCACACCCCACAGATAAGTAATAATCCCCAGATTTCCAGATTTTGTTTTTTAAAAACGTTTCATACATTTGTAGAAACTGAAATATGAGGCAAAAGTACAGGCGCAGTGATCCCCAAATTTCTGTGAGAATTCAGCCTGTTCCCCTCCCCTTTCATGCAGATGCCCATGCAATATTTAGGCGTCATCCTTAAAATGTTCCAAGTACACAACTTTACTTTCATCCATATAAATCAATGGATGGCATTCAAGAGAGGGGAAGAAGCACTTTTTCTTGGGAAGACTTTTAGAGGCAGGAAGCAGCTCAGTCTCCCAGGAACTTGACAGTCTGACTTTGGCTAAAGTCATTGTCACCTTTGGAGTATGCTTAGTTAGGTTTTGTTTTTCAAACTATGGAAAGGAGTACCCTCCATCTCCCAGTTTTAGTTGATTATATTAAAATTATGTTCAGTGGGGTTGTACATTAAGAACCCACTTTTTAAAGATATCCAGTTCCGTTCTCATTGAGGCGCACTATTAAACTGTCTCATTTCCTTTTAGAAAATGTTTTAAGACATGCTTATTCCATAAGGTTTAGCCTTCTAGCAATTTAATTCTAATTTTTTATTGAATTATTTTTGATGGTTTGATAATATTTTGAACAAGCTATACTAGTTTTAATAGTTTTTAAATAGAAAACCACGTCAGCCTCACATATATAAAAATTGCAAAACAGCATCTTGGTCTTAAACATTGTGCTTTACTAAGACTAGAATGCACATTATTGCTTTTTGCTACAGTTATCTACACAGGCCCACTTGGATGCCGAATATTGTAGGAATCAGTGTATATTTCAGCTGCGCTTGTGCCCTCTAGTGCCTTAAAAAAAGCAAAAGCAAAAACCATTCACAAATTTTCATCTTTCTAGCTTTTCACCTTTGGAAAATTCAGTTTGTACACATTTCACTGTTCAGTAATCTCCGAAATAAATTGTCAGGAATATAATAGAATCTCCCTGAGCACAAAGATAACAAGGTGATCTTTAAAGGGAGGATGGCACCAGAATCAGGAAGCTGCCTTTTATCAGGTCGGACTATGGGATGTATCCAGCTGTTTTACTTGGAGTAGACAAACTTAAAATCAATGGACCTAAATTAGCCATGCCCATTAATTTCAGTGGACCCACAGCCCTATATGTTCATCTAAGCTAGAATAGAGGCTGGCACCCATTGTGACTGGTAAGAGTGGGAAGCATGGAGGTAAACAGTAGGCAGCCAGACCTAATGGCTCTGTGGATCCAGAACTAATCAGAAGACTAGGCAACGATTTCTGGTTTTGTCCCCATCCTTCTTCCTGCTAAGTTCCACAAAGGCAGCAGTACTGAGGCTCACATGTGCAACTTCTGCACTGGGTGTTAAGGAAGGAGGCAGGCAGTTAGTGGGTGGCTGAGGAAGGGACTTTGGTGGGGCAGTGCTCCATTCATTCTATGGATCCACCTTCATTGTTGTCTGCTCTGACAGTTGTCTTCCATGACTCAAGCCAAGGTCTTTCACATCACCTGCCTCCTGCTCGTTTTAGCTGGACATGAGGATTGTGCCTAGAACCTTGTGAAAGCAAGCCATAGACTCTGCACAAAACTATAGTGGGATACTTTTAGGTCCTACCACAGAGCTACGGCCCTTGTTGCCACCATTCACAAGGGAACTAATTTGTTAAGAGCGAATTTGGTGATAGTCAAATTTTGCACCAAGTGGAATTTGATGTCAAGTTTCTGATTCTGATTAATGTGCTTCTGGTTCCTCTGGCAGAACCACGCTGAAGTAGGCAAGAATCTGGCCAGTTTAAAAAGGTTTGTGACTTCTGGTCAGGTCTAGTAGTTCTGAGGGACCAAGCAAGGCTTCACCACATGCTTAGAGAACTTGCGTTTATGTTAAGGCATCCATGCTTTGTGCACACGTGGAGGTCTCTGTACATACACAGTATGGAGCATCTGCACTGCTAAAACCTCCAAAGCATTTGGATTTGCCACTGGAACAGAATGAGAATGGATGTTTGGTGATAGTAAAACTAAGCTCATTCCTCAAACATTTGAAGTGCCCCGTCATAAAACTGCCCAGTATGGTCACTGCTTAAGAATGGGCACCTGAATTGTGCATAGTGAAGTTACTTGTTCACTGCTTCCAAGTAATGTCCCCACTGCAACAAAGAGATTCTCTTCCACCTTTTACTAAATGATGCAAATTGAGTTGAGCCAGAAACTAATTACTCTGAAGTTACTGCAATGCCTATTGAATAGTCCTATAAAACACACCTTGAGAACTCCTTATTCAGCTTCTCAGTAGCTCTAAAGAATGGAACAGGCTTCCTCAACCTCGGCCTCCAGATGTTTTTGGCCTACAACTCCCATGATCCTTAGCTAGGAGGACCAGTGGTCAGGGGTGATGGGAATTGTAGTCTCAAAAACATCTGGAGGGCAGAGGTTGAGGAAGCCTGGAATAGAAGGTGAACATTTTTACAGCTGAAGTGGGACTTTCCACCAGAGACGCTATATTAGCAGATATAAGGACTAAAAGCCATTCCAAACCCTCTTAAACCCTCTGGATAGTGGAAGCAAACCACATACACACAGCATACTTTGTTATACATCCAATCAGGAATCAAAAGTGGCATAAGTACAGGGCATGGATAGTTCAGTCGGTAGAGAATGAGACTCATGCCCTTGTTTGTATTGAAGCTTGAGAAAACAATGGAACACAGGTTTTAAGAAAAGGCATTTATTATTATTATCATTATTATTAGCAGACCTGCTATGGTTCCTTAAGAACAATATATGCTATCTTTATTTGAAAGGAGCAATCTGCTTTCAAATACAAGAATGGCATGACAAGGGACTGTCGGCAATGCGAGACAGCAGGCGCATCACACTTCCACAGTGCAGGTTGAAGCAGCACAAGTGACACTTTAGAACAGCTGTGGCTGAATATTGCCAGTAAAAGAGCTTGTATCCTGACAAGATTTAACAAGAACAGAACAGCTAATGTTCATGCTTTAAGGAATTAGGCTCTTAGCTCTTTTCAGGTTTAAACCTTTACTCTGGTTAGATTTTGTTGTTGTTAAACAAAAAAACAAAACAAAAAAGGAATGCTTTTCAACCAAGCATTAAACCAAGCATTTGTTTTCAAATCCCTCCTCTTCTCTCCAGTCATAACAGTTTTATTATCACAATCCACATATGAAGGTATCTTCGCCCTCTAGTGGTGCTTTCCATCCTTAAAACTGTTTTGTACAAAAGGAACACTTGACATACTAATACATAATTTGACATCTTATAGTTCATAGACTTAAATACCATAAACAGGGAAGGGGAAATGGTTTCTAGAACTGAGAATGCAGAAAAAACAAACTGGCTCCATAGTAAATATCTGGGTTGGGGGATTTTCCTCTTTTTTTGGTCTGAACGTGGGGGGTTTCCACCCCATTTCCAAACAATGTGGTCTTTAAAGTTTTGGGGATACTACAGTAGCAGTACAAATGACATTGCTTTTTAAATAGTAACCCCAGAGATAAATGCAAGGGAGGAAGGGAAACGCAAATGATTTTCCCTTTTGGTTGTTAGTGGCGATCTTCAGAAGAGAGACAGAGAGACCTAGAGCAAACCAACGGGAAGACCAGGTATAAGCAGTTGTTCGGGTGGTTAAGTCAGTGTCCAGCACTACTTTATTCTAGCTTACACAAGAGGAAAGGTCAAAGGGTCTCTATGTTCCGCCTGGTTTCAATGTCACAAAATAAAGCTACTGTCCTTGTTTCTTTGAAAGGTACCTGAAGAAAAAGCCAAAAATAAAACATTTATAATAGGATTCGACATACACAGGGCCATATACAATGGTGTGCATTTAAAACATATGGAATTACTGGTACAATAGATTCTTGATGTTCTGAAAGCATTCATAGTACTATCCTAGTTTACTTCTTCATCTTTCAGCACCTCCTCTACTGAAATAGTTGTAGTCTTGATGGGTAGCAGGAGTAAATAAATCAATTATAAAAAGAGTTAGGCAATATGCACTGCTCATATGCCCTAGAATTTTAAGAGAGCATTTTTCAGCAGTAGCACATATTAATATTCTAAAATATCAGCACAAATCTTTCATTTGTTGTTAAGATCCAACCAGTAAAACAAACCTTTGGGCATAAAAAAATTCTCTCAAAAGATCTTGACTGAGATGTCTAAATAGCATTCTGAAATTTATAGCTGGTGGGGGAAAGCAGCATGCACTCAAAAAGAGGGCAAATTATTAAAGTGTCTAAATCACGTCCAAATTGCTCAGATTCATGCCCTGTGCATGTGTTATCAGGAGTTATCAGTTACTTTAGCAACTGTGGCATAGGAAAGTACATTGTAAGATGAATGTGGATGCTCACACTCACGACTTTGAGTGAAATGCTAGGCATTTTCTAACCACAGCCTGATTAAAATGTGCTAGAACCATCAAGTCCAGATAATATTGCTTTGCAGAGCAGGTGTGAGTCACACATCTACAGCCGATTACCCCAGATGCACTTTTAATGTCTACTGACCAATAGCAACTTCTTGCCTCTAATTTCTGAGCTTCCAACAAATAAATGTTGAAGTAAATATAAAATTTATCAGGAGGTGATCTTGAGAGCGAACACAGCACATAGATCTGGACTGAACACCAGTCGGTTTGCAGGACTCAAAAGATCAACCCCTTGCCGATAGTACAGATGCCTTCCAAACTACAGCCTAGTGCTGGTTTCATAGTCCTGAATGGTTCGTCTATTCACAAAGCCTTCTCCAACCTGGTCTTTTATACTACACCTCCCATCACTCCTGTCTATTGGCCATGCTAGCTGGGTTTGATGGGAGTTGGAGCCTTAACATCACCTGCAGGGATGGAGAAGGCTGCATTACTTTATGTCAGGCACACCTGCTCTAAAGTAAAAATGTTGCACACTCCACCTATAAAGAGACTTTAAAAAGTAGAGCTGGTTCACAATTCAACCCTCCTGCATACATAATAATGTGGCCCGCCTGACTGGTACAATGGAACACTGTGGCAGAAGCCAGAGCGCACGGAAACGCCGTTTACCTTAACCGTCCGGCGGTCCTTTACCTTAACCTTTTAGCTATACATAAGAATACAGAGATCTAACCGAGATCCCTAAGGTCAAATCCTTCACACCAAAATGGGAAAAGGAACAGAAACTTTGGTGGTCCAAAGTTTAGAATCATTCTGACTGAAGGAGGAGCTATGGTCCAGTTCTCAAGGAAAATGCCTTAATGTTAGCTCCTTCTCCAAGTGAAAATGCTTGGTATGCATTTTCATTGGAGTCAACTGCAGTTAAATCTCAAGTACAGAGCCAAGACTGCCAAGCCACGTACAATGCATGCAGTTAGCAGAATTTTGAGACGCACAGACTTCTCTAGCCTGAGTCAGCAGTAGATTCCACCAAGGTCATTGGGACTATTTGTTTTATATGTAACTAGGGAAACCCTGGTTGCAGACATACTGGCTACTGTGTTTTTATGGTGATCCCACCCTGCTATGGTATTGTCTTTGTCACTTTCCTAAACATCTGCATATGAAAAAGTCGTACACAAAATTGCTAACAAATTGAACCAACACTAATTCAGGCACCTCTGCTAATGGAGTTGCTATCAGTTCAGATTGGGCCAGCAGGAAGCGAAATTTGATACTGTTGAAGCACAATGCTGAACAAGAACAGCATTTCATCCTTACCTTTCCCAGTGTTTGTGGTTCAACTCCAAAAAGTCGTCTAATTTTGCTATTTCCTTGAGATACTGAGTAAGTTTTAGAAGCTCTTTATCCTTATCTCTGTTTAAATGTGCTTTCATGAAGGGTTTTATCTGTTGAGAAAGAAACCAGGTGTAAATGATACGTATCTTAAAGAGAAAAATAGAGAACATACCCAAACTTAACATGCTAGCATTTGTTGAGCAGATAATATTGCAAGAACCTGTCTAAGAACCTGACCCTTTGGTTCAGTTCGCTGGTTCCATTCTACTTGCCAGGCAGGCTCCATCCCTCCCTTCTTGCAGAGACCTGCAATGTACTCTAAAAGCCCAAAGTATTATTTGCAAATGGACTTTGTCCTTCCCCCATGTCCTACTCATATCCACACAGTAGCTCAAACAATCAACCTTTCAGAGTATTTGCAAATAATGTTTTTATGAACTACTGAGTTGCTTCTAGCAACATCCATCGCAGCATAGCAGCTGCTGAACTCAAGGGCAACATTCTCCTTGTTGCAGGATACTTACTGCTAAAAACAAACTAGCAAAAGCTCTTTTTACTTCAAAGAGCCAATCAGGCCTCCATGTGAACATGAACTCACAACACAGGCAAGCTGTATTTTGAGAATTTACATTACGGCTTCTATATATTATACAAGGAGATTATTATATGGGGAAACATGAAGATGACTATTCACGTACAATTATTCATAGAGTGTCACCTAAATGCAAAGCCACTCTAAAAGTAAAACATGTAATTTTTCTACTGCAGTGTAGCCATGGGCAGATGCATCAGTATGGCCACACATTTAAAAAGTTAGAGGGTGGTGAGAAGTGGTCTCACTTCACACCTGCAGATCTTGCTTCTTTCCCTCCCACCTCCTAATCCACTGCTGCCAGCACCTCCAGTCCTCCAGCATCAACCTCTACATGACATTCTACTCCTCTCCCTGCCATCATCATAAGCACTGTGCTGTGTTTCTACGAAGCAGGGCTGGCTTCTCTTGATCTCGCTTGCCAGGAAGGAAGGCAGTCTCCCAGATGCAGCCCTCTCTTCTGGGGCCTATATACAAAGAATGGTGTTTCTTCCAGTCTTAAGAATACAGTCTCCCATTGCAGAAAGAAAATACGCACCATGCATTCATCATCCACTAAAAAACCCACTCAGCACTGTCAACTGCTGTTTCCCAATAGAAAATGGTGAGTACCCTGTCAAGTACCCTGATTGGAAGCTTGACTGTGACTAATCACTAATACGACAGTTAGTGAAATTTACACAGCAAACTTTAAAGCTACAAAGGCAACAGGTATGCCTTTTACCCAGTAATAGATCACACACTTTGGGTGCAGAAGATCTAAGATCTAATCCCAGGCATCCTCCATTAAGATTACTATCTATCTAGTTATCTATTTACAGAGTACAAGAACCTGGCCCTCTGCCCCGAGGAGCTTACAACTGAAAATGTGACAAAAGGGAAACAGAAGAAGAGGACAGGGGAGGAATATGTGATTGTCTCAGTTCTACATACTTCAGCTTAGTTACATGCTAAGACCCCAACCTGAAATCTTAGAAATTATAAGGGTATCAGAAAGTGTGATACGCTCATAACTTCTTATTTTCACCACAGATGAAGGCTTCTAAGCAGTTTGCAGATCAATAAACAAATGCACTTGTCATATAATAAGAAGCTTAAAATAACAACAGCAGCTAAAAAAAAGTAAAATAGGACTCACATGGCAATCAAAAACATGCTGGGATAGAAAGGTCATCAAGTGTCTGAAATTCAATAGGGAGAGGAGGACTGCTATTATCTCATCTGGGAGGGAGTTCCACAGTTGGAACTACACTACTGGGTGCATAGCTCCTGGTCGATATGAGGCATGCATCTGCATCATGGGGATCACCAACAGAGACTCCCATGAAAATCTCAGGGATCAGGCAGAGATATAAGGAAACAGTCAGTCCTTAAGGTATCCTGAACCAAAGTTGTTAAGGGCCATGTAAATTAATACAATATGCTGAGCTAACAGCAAAAATCCTAACCGTGTATACTCAGAAGTCTTACTGAATTCAATGGTGCTTACTCCAAGGTAAGAGAGGCCAAAACTGCAGCATAACCTCTATTATCTACTCTTGAGTGGCAATGGCTGCCAAAAGCCAGGGCAGCACTCTTCCACAGCACTACCACCCAAGACCCTTTTGACTGGAGATGGCAGGGACTGAATTGGGTCATTCCATAAGCAAAGCATGCGCTCTGCCAGACAGCACATTGTTTCAGGCTTCAGTTTATCCCAGAACTCTGTCCAAAAGGAAATAAAGAGCACTCTGTGCATACTTAATTTGCTAGGTACACAAAAACTAAGCTGGAAAGACAATTGCTGTTATCTTTGTCACAGTAGTCTACAGTGGGGACCACGTCCTTCTGAGAGGCTTCTAAAGCTCATTCCAAGCACCACTTGTCACATTTATCAAAGGCCTGCGGACAATAAGTTAATCCCATGTGGAATGGCTGATTAAATTCTGTTGCCTCTGGTAGAACATCTGATCTCGATTCCTTTTACAGCAGCATTTCTCATAAACGGTCACCTCCAATTTGTCTTGCTGTCAATAAAAGTCTGAGCTGCAGCACACCGGCTCTCTTTTCCCAGGGGGAGGCAATGATACCGCTCTGTCAGCAGTGCACTCCATCAAGCCTCCATCTAGTTGAACAGCACTTTTAAAGCAATTTCCACTCATCTGTCACCATTTCTCAAGAAGCAGAGAGACTTTACAAAGGGCAACGCTTGTACCACAAGAGCCAGATGTCTTTTCCAGGACAAACATTTTCCAAAAACACCGAGATGTTTGGGAGGCAGGGGCAGAAAAAGAAGAGACACTGACATGTAACTTTGTTGACAGTCATTTCAGAATGGGTACATCCTGTCCCTTCAGTTCATTCAGGCCACATTTCTCTCGTGGTCTGTAATACTTCTGACAGGTCCCTACAGAGGCCTCTGCCACTGGTGCGTTACAGCAAAAGCAACAATATTCTGCTGCCACCTTGTATATGCCCACTGATGTCATAAAAAGGGAAAATACTTACCATTGGCAACACAATGGTATAAATAGGAAGGCCACTGCAGAATAGCAGTTAAGATGCTATGGAGCAAGTTCTATTGGCCTAAATGGGGACCTATGTCTGAGCAGGCATACACAGGGCTCCTCAGTAAGAGACTGAGATGCGAAGCTCCTTATTTAACTCTTGCCTGTCATCAACTGACTGAATGGCCTTAGACAAGTGGTTATGTAAGCACATGTCTGCCTGCAATATGGGGATGACAGTACTACCTGGCAGGAATCAACTACTGAGATAATGTGAAATGCTTTGGACACACCCTAAGCACCTTATAGTATGAATGCTAAACACTATGTCTTCAAATTTCCATTATTTTACATTATACCTTTAGTCTAGGTACTAAAGAACAAATTGCCTACATTTTTGCAGACAATTTATTTCTAGCTCTCTTAAATACCCCCACATCAAAACTTTGATAAGCAGCTGCCAGATCACTACAAAACATCTTGTGTTCACATGCACTGGGGCATGGCGGGGGATAGGGTGGGGAAGCTTCCAAAGACCATTGTAGCTATTATGAGTGCTTTATCATAGGAACGATGTGGTGCAGTGGCCAGAGTGGCAGAGCTGAATAAGAGAAATTCAAACACTAACTTGGCTTTTAACTTTATCTAGTATCTTTGGAAAGTCAGGCTCTCTCAGTTTAAGCTGCCTTATAGGCTGATTGTGAAGCCAGAAACATTGGCTCTCAGCTCCTTGGAGGATGATCTAAGATCACAAATATATGATAATCCCAAAGGGTGAGTGGCACAAATTCCAAGGTCAAAGCAATTCCAAATAATGGCTGAAATCCAAAAGCTGAAATGTGTGCATGGAGCTGTGAAGAAAGGGATGGTCAGCACAACCAACAGAAAATATTCATTCGAAGAGTAATTCTTTCCATACAACAATGTGGGAAGTGCTGCAATCAAGATACAGATACTGGCATGTTGGTACAACAGTGACCTGCCACCCTACCAGCAGTAGTGCAAACAGGATCAAAGACCCATTGCATTGGCACCATTTCCCAAATTTCAACCCACTTGAGTTTTCTTCCTCTAGGCTGTTGGCATCCGTCTATCTCGAGAGAGAATGGACCCACTATCAGTCTCATCCACTCAATCGGCCACAGCCTGTCTTCATATGCAGGGGAAGTCCCTAACTCACCTAGGGTTTGAGACCCATTGGCTACCTCACCTGGTTTAGCCAGCCAGTCAAGACATTAGCTGGGCTGTGGGCACTGTCACATGCCAACAGCTTAAAGGAGCCACAGGTGAGAGTTGAGTGCGGAGCGAAGGTGGATAAACAACCCCAGAAGGAGCACAACTTCTCCCCTACCAGACGTATTACCCCTCCCCTAACACCCCGTACTAGGTAAGCTGGCATTTATAAAAGAATGCTAAACATTACCTTTAGTCCGTTTTGTGGGTTCATAAGAAAATTTCGTCCAATGTCATCAAACATAATAGTATTTTTCTTGCTGTAAAACTCTGAAAATTTGCCCCATATGACACCCAAGGGTTTCACCTGTAGATGTAAAGTTGTAAGAAAACCTCAAGTGAAACAGCATTTCAACAACAGAATTTACCATCAGTATTCTGCTTTTACTGTATAAAGATTATTTGCAGAAATGTGCTCCTGAAGAACGGGGAAAACCACAGAACAGATTTGGGAGCAGGTGTGGGAGCACCCAGGAAGAAGGGAGAAAGTCCTGTAGCATTGGGAGAAGCTCTTGAGTAAACAGGAGAACTTCACTGGATACAACTTATTCTGGTGCAGGAAGTCCTTGTTTCTCCAGCCAGCACAGCAAGCAAGCCAAGCTGTATTTCTTTTATATGTATGGCTTGGGCATGCTTACTTCTTAATTTTGTGTAAGAACCACTTCCTATGGAGTGACTCAAAGCAATTTCACAATTCAATAAACCCATATAACAATTGCATATATAAAAACTATTTCAAATCGAGTGCAGATATCAATTGGGATAAAAATATCTGGAAGGTTTGTTGAAAGAGGAGTCTTCAACAGGTGGCAAAAAGCCAGTCAGGTTTCTTAGAACTGTTGCTCTTAGTGTGATGAACCTATTCTATTTTAACATACAGTCGTACCTTGGTTTTCGAACAGCTTAGTTCTCGAACGTTTTGGCTCCCGAATGCCGCAAACCCGGAAGTGACTGTTCCGGTTTGCAAACTATTTTTGGAAGCCGAATGTCCGACGGGGCTGATGCAGCTTCCGACTGGCTGCAGGAGCTTCCTGCAGCTAATCAGAAGCTGCGCTTTGGTTTCTGAACGTTCGACTTCCAAGGTACGACTGTACTGAAATCTGAATTGTATACACTGATCTTTAGAACAGGGTGCTGATGGGTGGGTGCTCCTGCCTTGAAAAAAGAGGTTGGTGAGAGGACACTTACATCAATTAATCCTCGTCTTGGTGTGTGCACAGTTATCATGGCCGCACTATCCAGCATGAAGGTTATCTTGTAGTTTGCATTGGTGCTCACTCCCAGCTCCTGCAATGAAAAACAATATCTAAGGACATTTTGCACACTGGCTCATCCCCTGCTGTAGTTTACCAATCTCCTATAATTTGCCTCTTCTTCTGCATGTCACCAGTAGGAGCACCCCACTAGAGGAGGGAGGCATTCATGGGAACTTAGGGCCAAAGCCACAGTATTAATCATGCCAATTTTAGCACTTGTAACCGAGTTCCAAGCTATGACTAAAATACTATGAATCATTTTGTGAAGCAGATCACACAAAAAACATTCTAAAACACAAGAAAATGAAAACACACACAAGCTTACACATCAGGCTTACTTTCATTTTAGCTTCAATCCACTTCATATTGGTAGCAGCTGAAAGGGAATAAACAAATTATTTTCAAGTGAAGTATTTTCAAGGCATCTTTTAATACCGTGTTATCCTGTTCTGGGTATTAGCTAATTATTCATGAATGCAGGCTCCAAATTAGTTTTCAATGCAGCAAGTCCCTCTCATCTGAACTGTTTTTCAGTTTCACCTGCATTCGCATATTCGTGGCAAGCAGCTCATCCAACAATTGCATGAATCTGCCCAGGGAGTCACTCTCTAATCCCAATGCTACCACCAAGTCACTGTAACAGTGTGTATTCCTATTTATCTGAGCTCTGCTTTTCTTAGGTATCTGGATACCTTGGGGCTCGTTTTAAGTGTGAGCTACTGTAAAGATGCCGAAACGAAAAGCACATCATGTTTAATATATAAACAAGAAAAAGCTTTTAAAATACAATGGGGGTGCAATACAGCATTACTTTGCTCAGCCACTCAATTTGACACAAGGTGGAGAAAAGGGGAGCATAGATCTACTTCTGGACAACAAGAACACAAACAAATGGGAAGTGTCAAATAAAGTGGTTCAACAGCTGGCATTGTGTGTTTTCCTTCTCATGTCCTAGATCCTAGGGACCATGCAACGAGTTCTGAACACTCAAGGGAGACTTTGATTTGAACTTCTCCTACAGTAGCACACACAGTCCCAATGCAGGATGACAAACTTCATTTAAAGCAAGGCAAAGTTTCACAATCACTCTTCTAGGCATCCCCAAGGCTTTGGATTACCTAAGTAGGTCTTTGGATCCTAGCCCATGTTTACGACCAACAGGGATTCATAACCCATTTTCTGAATCAGAGTACTTGCCCCAGAGAGTATTTTATCAAGCTGTTCAGGAGGGTATTTTAAATCAAGTATTGATTTTCGTTCACACAGGGGTTCTGTGCTGACTGTCCCACAAGGGCTAAAGCCTCCATTAAACTACCTCTCATGATTGCTGGCTTGAGAGATGTAATACAACAGAAAGGTTCGGCATCAAGCACTGCGTAAAAGATGCAGATCAAGTCCACAACATCTCCAGCAGAGATCCCTACGTCACAAGTGGCAATGCATCTCTAGGCATAATGAAAACACTTTCAATTTGTGAAGTAAGTAACTTACACCAAATTACAATATCATAGTCTTCGTATGCAGATGTCAGGAATTCATGCAGATACGGCCTCATCAGCTCAAGCCCAGTCTCTGCACATGATCTATGGTCTAGAAGAAAGTCAGCCAGTTCATATTAGTCATTTAAAACCTTATTTGAATGTCAGCATCTTTTCTCCTTACCTGTGCTCTGGCATACACCTACACTCCATTCAAGGGAGCATAGCACCCAGGACTGCACTGGAACCCAAATAAACCTACCTATACCCAGAGAGCAACTCTCTGGTCTGCTGCCAAGAACCATGAAATCAGCAGGTACCAATGTCTTGAAATATGTCTTGAAAATGAAGTATATTACTTACCAAACAGGGTATAATCAACATCCAGGACCAACAATTTCTTCCCTTCTCGCGGAGGGTTCAATATTTCCACTTTATACTCCTTAACTCTGCGGGAGATTTTCAGCAGATTCTCTTCCCTAAAAACAAACAATATAAATGACATGCAGCTGTTGCATATTGATAAGCCAGCCAATTATTTCTCTATTCAGCAACAAACTCACCTATTCTCGACTTCAACCACTTCCTCTTCAATGTCAAAATCATTGACTACATCTTCATTATCAGGCGGTGGCCCAAGGACATCTTCCTACAACAAAAGTAAAACACCAAAAACTTATTTTATTACAATCGTACCTTGGAAGTCGAATGGAATCCATTCTGGAAGTCCGTTCGACTTCCAAAACGTTCAAAAACCAAATTGCGTCTACTGAATGGCCGCAGGAAGATCCTGCAGCCAGTCTGAAGCTGCGGAAGCCCCGTTGGATGTTCGGGTTCCAAAAGAATGTTCGCAAACCAGAACAATCACTTCCAGGTTTGCGGCGTTCAGGAGTCAAAACATTTGAGTTCCAGGGAGTTCAGGATCCAAGGTACGGCTGTATTTGAAAGTTCTTGTACAGAAAAACAAAGTGAGATATACTTCTGCTTCCATCCCCTGCCCTTCAAAAGTACTTTTGCTTTTTGCCAAGGCATTGTCTAAACAAAGAGCAACATTCAGAATTAAACATCACACACTGCTTAAAGCAGCATTTGGATACTTTTTAAAGAGGATACATAAAGAGAATAAAGTGGCTGATCAAGTTGACAGCCCACAAAAATGGAAAATATAAACATGAGGAATCAGTGATGAAACAAATTAAGAAAATGTGAACAACCTATACATTCTTGGCGGCTTTGGAAGAATGCAGTTATTTTGGTGGCAAGAGGGTAGAAAATCAATTGGTTAAAGGAATTTAAGAAGGTAAGAAGAGCCTGCTGGATCAGACCAATGGCCCATATAGTCCAACATCCTGCTCTTGGCAGCCAACCAGATGCTGTGGGAAACCTGCAATCACGATTTGAGTACCCCTCCTGGAACACCTTCAGTTCACACCACATACAGGCCAATCTCTGGCTTGAACAACTTTTTGTCAGTTAACATTTAATCAGAAAATTAATTACACTGCTTGTTCTCAGACATACACATGAACCCTACATTATTTCTAGGCAATTACATGTATTTATTATAATCATGTTTTCCGTAATTATTAGTTTTTGTGTGTTTTAAATAGAAAAATGTATTTTACCAAGCTTTCCTCACGAGTCCCCATCATCATGATTTTAGTATTTGGTTTCAATTTTAGTGATCCAAGCTTAACATCATTGTCTGCTGGCTTGCCTGCAATATAAACAGATTACAGCTTCCTCAGCAAAAATGAGTGATTTCCTCTGCAGCTGTTTCTTTCTCCTTTCACCTGATTTGTATTTTAAAATACTAACTTATGATCTTAGGCTACAATCCTATGCACACTCTCCTGCGAGTTAATTCCACTGAGATCAATGAGTGTTACTTCTGAGTAGACGTGTATAATATGATATTGGCAACCTAGAGTAAGATTTTCTATCCTGCTCCCTGATGTAACTTATTCTCCTTCCCCTCCCCAAATGTGTTCTAGGGGTTCCTGCAACCCACTGGAACAGATTTAGCATGGGCACATGTAGAGAGAAAGAGAGGAAGTCCCACTGAGCAAACAGAAGTCTTTCTGCTAGCAGGATGACTTTCCTGGTTACAATCCAGAGTTCGTTCTTTCTTTCTGCTTCCCACCCCCCTCCTGGAAGTGCAGTGTCAACAACAAAAAGTGAACCCCTAGCCTATTTTTTGCAGGTCACCTAATACATACTGATATTCATAAAAAAACATTAGAAGTGTGCTGAATCCTATTCTCACAGTGGCCAACCTGATGCCTGCAATAAATTCTTGCAAGAAATTCTGGACTGGGGAAAACCTTGGCACCTGCACACATCGGATCATTTAACACAGTTTAGTTTTGAATATTCTGATTCTCAATTCTTCTTTGTTAAGTGTGTGTTAGCACATGAGTGGGTCATTCTAGAAAAAGAGAGAAGGAAATTAAGGACGATGGAAGCCTTAAGTTGACCCACCCCAAGTGTAGGAGTCAGTCTTCTCTCCACCATTTTAACACATGGACCAGGCAAGAAGAAAGTGTGGATCTGGGACAAAAGGCAACAGATATGCAGATATGCCTTAGCAGCTGGCCAATTTGACAACCAGGTCTGTTTCTGCAACCCTACTAAACAGTGAAAGAAAGGTGGAGCATGATATAAATATTACCTTTTACTTTAAGTCCAAGAAGCTTTTGACGCTCTGGGAGCACTCCAGTAAGTCCTTTGAGGGACTGCTTGAGATCCAGCACTGTGTCTTCTTCTGACAAGGTGGTTATCAAAAATTCCTGCCCACCCCATTTTATAATAAGAGAGACAGCCATATTTGTAACATATGTTCAAAATATACCTATAGGGAAGGAAGAAATGATTGTCAAGAGAATTCTAACATTTTAACTTCTTCTCACTTCTACTTGGAAAACCAGACAAATACTGCTGCTACATTCTGAACAAATTAGTGGTCCACACACATCTGTGACATTTTGTATAAATTTGGAAGAGATTGTATGAACTTGGAAGATATGTCAAGACACTTCAGCAAAGGGAAAAGCTGCATAAGTCAGTAATATATTACATTACTAGACACTAGTTCCCAAGGGATACCTGCTCATGTCCACACCAGCCACCTGACTGGATAATCTGCAAGCTTCCAAAAACCGTGTGTGCTGCCTTGTTTCAGAACACTAGAATTACCAAACTCTTAATGGGGGGGGGGATCTCCTGCATATTTAAGAGGTGCGGAGACCAGAACTCTGCCAACTGCAGCCTTCCACTTCAGTAAGGAGCCGCAGCTCAGAAACGGAAGCATAGTGCCTTGAACGCTTCAATCCCTGGCCTCTCGAGGCAGGGCTGGGAAAGCCTCTTGCCTGAAACTCCGCAGCACTGCTGCAAGCCGGCCGTGGACGACACTGGCCTAGATCCTCCAGCGGCATGACTAGGTGTTACTTGCTTTTCCCCACGTGCACGTGGACTGGAGAAAGGAGCCGGGCCAGGCGGCGGGCTTCCCTTCGAGGAAGCTCCTCGCCCCTTTCTGCGTAAAACGGCAGGCGCTGCGCAATTCATATAGGTTAAGGGACGCAGACAGGCTCCTGCTGCACCAAGGGCTGCGTCCTAAACGCTCCCAGCAGGTGTGCACGGAAGGGAGGTCTGGAGCGTTGCATTAGGTCCCCTCTACCACCACCGCCGCCGCCGCCCCCTCTGCAGGGTCCGGGCCTCGCGCTTCCACTAGCAGACCCTTGGAGTTGCTGGGGAGGGCGGTTGTGGGGCGCTCCTTGCTGGCCATGTTTACCCCCCGAGTGCCACCCACGGCCTTTGGGGTGCCCGAGAGGGGCGGGGCAGGGGGAGAAGGCGCCCCGCTCTGGAAGACTTGCGGACTGCGCCCATAGGGGCTCCCGCAGCTCCGCCGAGCGCCGGCCGGACCCAAGGAAGAAAGAGGAGCAGCCGCCCCGCCTCACCCCCAAGAGAGCGTCCCAGGAACCAGCCGCGCCGGAAGCAGAACCCGGCGACCGGAGCTCGCGCGCCGCGCGAACCGGAAGCACTCGCGCTCACGGAACCTGGACGTGGCGAGGGGGCCAGATGGGAACACAGAGATATAGCAAGGGGGGAAAAAGTAGAACGGACAGCTCGGGTTTCGCGTCTGGCTCCCCCCCCCCCCGCCCACACAGAGATGGATTTCCGAGTTCCCTTGCGGGAGTGAGAGCCTTCAGAGCGTGTCATGGCGGCTCAGGGAATAGGGCGGCTTGAGGAGATCAAAGGGAATGAGGGGCTTACGACAGCCCCGCAGTGTAGGTTGTGACGGTGCCGTGGCAGCACCAAGGCTTGCAGGGTCGCCCCCTATTGCCTCCAGCAGATCCTGCTCGTTTCACCCTCTTGCGTCTCAGTCCCAGACGCGGTGGACCAAAATTATAGCCTATACACAGAAGGACACCCTACAGTGTATTTTTGGTCTCTGTGGAAGCCGTCCAGAGTGGCTGGGGAAACCCAGCAAGATGGGCGGGGTACAAATAATAAATTATTATTATTATTATTAATTACAGAGAGCCAAGGTCCTGACAGCTACAGCTTTCCGTGTGATCTTGAGCCCCTTTAGGGGGAAAATCCGTACACCGACTCCCACTCCCCCTTTAGAAGTTTCTATATCAGCTTCCACCAGCGATTTATTAATACCCAAGCAGGTCATATGCAGGTTTTGCCAGAAACTTCGCTAGGATGGCTGCCTTCGTGTGATTATGTCCTTACTTACAAGTAACTTTCCATATGATAACCCTGCAATGTAGTCCAGAGTTAGAAACCTGGGACGTGGGGCAGGTAGAATGGTATGGATTTCTGTCCAAAAATCGCTCATGCAAGAACCAGTCTGCTTAAATTTCCCTCACAGATGCCCTGCCGGTCCCATTCCAAAAAATAGTATAAAGAGAGCAGGATCTTGCCTTTGCTACTACTGTTTGTTTCAGGGTGGATGCTGTTACTCAACCAAGACAGTATTAAATCTTTGATATCTCCATTTCTAGAGGCAGTCCTCATTGGTAGTTCTGGGATGAAAAGGGCTTCATTCAGAAGTTAGGGCCGAAGCTTATTGTCTGTGGAACACAATACAGGTCTGAGAGAAGAGAAGCACCATCACTACTAAGAATACTTTCCTCCAGGTGGTGTAGGGCTTTGAAGTTCAACACCAGCCATATGAATGATGCCTAGAAACTGTTTGAAGCTATTTGTGGAATAGATTAAGGTTAGCCAGTGGTATGCAGTGATGGGAGTTGTTGTCCAACAACATCTGGAAGCCAGTGTGGTTGCTTCATTCTAGACCAGAACATTCCTGGACAGCAGCAATAGTTTACACATATTGCTCTAAGTTAGAGGTATGGCATGAATGATGGAGGATGCAGGGTTTTTTTTTTACTCCTGTAAGGACATATCAGAGGAGGGACAAGGGGGCCATTTGGCCTGGACCCAAAGCTCAAAGGGGGCCTCAAATTTAGACCCTTGTGAATTTTTTGACACTTGATAAGTTTTGCAATTTGTTTGTATGTACATAGGACCAAAATGCAATACACTGTCAGCTTACAGCGTCAAATACAAGCAAACAAGGTATGTAATTTGGGGAAAGGACACTGGCATTTTTGGATAACTGATACAGATTTTGGTTTTCATAAATATTCATCAAAATATAGTTTTAATAGCACAATATTAGTCCATGGTGAATGCGTCCTCAAAAGCATGAAATAGTCCGGGCCTCTCTGGACTTCTGAGAGGGCCTGCCTATTGGACAGAGGTGACTATCCAGAAGCTGTTGGATTCCATCAGCCCTAGTCAAAAAGGCTGATGAGAGTTGTAATTTAACAACATTTGGAGAGCCATGGGTTCCTCATCTATGTAGTAGAGGAGTGTGCAGCTGGTGTGCCAGACCTAGCTGGAAAAGCATCCCTTGCCACAACTGCCACCTGAGAAATGATCAGCAATATTGTGTTCAGGAGCACTCGCTCTTCGTAGGGAGTAGAACCTGCTCAACAGATTGTCCATCTACTCCCAAATCAACAGGTTCACCATCTCTTTATTAGCTGGATTGAGTTTTAGTGGACAGCTAAAGCCAGTAATGTTAGAAATTCAAAACTGATAGCCCTGGGTACAATTTGACTTATGCACCATTGTATAAGTGTAGCAACTGAGTAGGTATGACATGGAGTTGGCACTTGGGTTTATTCCATGAGTGCAGTTTTGAGAGTTGCCTACTGTAATGTAATACAATGCTGGAATCTACAATATACAGTGGTACCTCAGATTAAATACTTAATTCGTTCCGGAGGTCCGTTCTTAACATGAAACTGTTCTTAACCTGAAGCACCACTTTAGCTAATGGGACCTCCTGATGCTGCCGCACCACCGGAGCATGATTTCTGTTCTCATCCTGAAGCAAAGTTCTTAACCCAAGGTACTATTTCTGGGTTAGCGGAGTCTGTAACCTGAAACGTATGTAACCCGAGGTACCACTGTATATCTCTTGCAGGCAAGCTTATTGAGTATTTGGATGTGATTTCATAAAGTTTGTGGGGAGGTAAGATAACAGGCTCTTTATTGAGCATTCATTCTGAGTTGTTTGCAGTGGGGTCACAAAAAGTTGTGTTGAACAATCTGTATCCTACCGTTCCAGTACATTTTGCCATCACAAAAGTGCCAAATCAACTTGAATTTGCTGGTATGTGACTGAATATCACCTGAAAACAGTGACAGCCTGACCTAGTTTTGACACAATAGCCATTAAAATCAATTTCTATCCCTTTCACTTACTTTTTGACAGTGGATTGGATCAGGTTCCAAGTTAGGCATGAACTGTTTTATTCATGGTGAAGGTGTAGGCTAATTTGAGTATGTGTCATGGCATATTAGGGTCCCTTTTGTGTATCTCATGATCAGCCTCAAAATTGTATGACTTACAAGAGAAAGCTGTTCTTCCAGTTATGACGGATTAAAGTTTTAGATCACTGTTTAAATTGCTACTGCTTGCCCTCTGCACCTTGGGAGGTGTCCAAATCTGTCTCTCTGCTGACAGAAGGGATTCATCAGTAGAATGGGAAGGGAGGCTATTTTCAGCAATGCCTCTCCTTTTCTGCAGCCTGCCCTCCCCCCCCCCAGCACAGCAGTTACAGGCAATACAGATGTGTTTAACACTGGTTGTGCTAGTGCTTTATAGATGTCAGCACTGTATATCTGTCTGTAAACAAACATCATTGGATACTACCCTTACCAATTCAACACTTTAAATGTAACTGAAAGGTAAAAGGCCCCCTTTCTTTTTCACCCTTTCTTTTCTTGGGTAGATGTCATTTTCATCACCACATCTTAAATATGTGTTTCCTTGGTTTTACTTAATACAGGACCACAAGGGACTATCCAGACCTGTATATAATGTGAGCTGTACATGGATTCAGCAGTATAAGCATGGATGGGAAACTAGTAGCCCACCAGGTGATGTTGGACTACAACTCCCATCACCCCTGATCATTAGCCATGCTGTCTGGGACTAATAGGAGCTGAAGTCCTACAATATCCTAAGGGCTGCAAGTTCCCCATGCCTAAGCTAAAAGGTTCACTTTCCTTAGGAATCTTGTGTTGGAAGAGATGAAAAGAAAAGAGAGAATTCTGAGGGAATTTAAGTACATCGTAAACTTCTGCCCTTCCCTTAAGCATGAAAAATTCATGTCTTATCCATGTACATTTCATATTTTATGTGGCTGAGGGAAACGTGTTTGGCAAGGTAAGGCTGTTGTTTTTGTAAAAACCTGTTGGTGATGAGAGCTGTACACTGACAAATTGCCCCTACACTGTAATGTGTTTATAAAATGTTATATACAATGCATTACTTTGGCATTGTATATGCTTACCTCATAACTATGCTAATAATGAAGCTATTCCCCTCCCCTGATTTACTCCAGATTGCAGTGATGGCCATTACCTTTGACAAATTGACAGACAGTTCCAACAGTAGCTGATGTGCTGAATGGAATGTCCCTGTCCAGAGGCAGTGTGCTGCCCAGTATCAGAGCTGAATGTAAACAACAGGGACTGGCCGTCCCTCTGCTGGTGAGCTTCCAGAGGCATTTGGCCAGCCACTGATGTAAACAGGATGCCTGACTAGAAGATGATCCTTGAGCAATTTGTGTTTCCAGGATGGGGAAGGGGCAGGGCTAAGCTGAGTTGCTCCAGATCCCAAACTGATGTCATAGCCATCACCAGCCAGCATCAGGCCTGATCCAGACCCAATCCCTGAGCCACCCTGGAGATGGCACAGGGATTGGGCCTGACTGTCCTCCTTCCAACCCACACATCCACACCATCCATCGCAGGGATGGCTACAGATGCAGCTGTTAATCCACTATCCTCTGCAGAACCCCAGCAGTGAGTTTAGATTTAACCCATGTTTTATTAGGATTGTTTTATTGTGTATTTTAATTATGAGTGCTTATATTTTAATACTTGTGTTATGAGTATTTCTACTTTGTATACCACTTAGGAGCCTTTTCTGGCATTAAACGATAAATAAGCCAATACCATCAAATGAATAATAATGATTGCCTCTCTATGATTTTTCCTCCGTGAAAAACTGTTCTAACAATTAAAAGAAAATGCAGCAAATGGAAAAGAAGACATACAAATGCTAGTCTGTACCTGCGATTGAGCAGTTAAAGTGCAGAAATCGCACTATATATTTTTTAAAAAAAATACTTTCTGCTAGAGTAGGATTCTGCTTTACAAAAGCAACTGAGTCAGAAAGGAGAAGACTTTTCTAGTCCAGAGAAGTTCAAAGTATTTGCCATGTCTGATAATTCAAACACCAGGGTAGATAGGAAATTCCCCATGGAGTTCAAACTTGTTTACTGTTAACACTTGCATGATGACTATGTACTGCTTCAAGTATCAAAGGCAATGTGCCTTTAATTACCACTGCTGGGGATCATGAGTATGGCTGTTTTGCACATGCCATGCTTGAGGGCTTCTCAGAGGTATCTGGCCATTGTTGGAACAAGATGCTGTGCTAGATATGCCTCCGGTCCAATCCAGCCAGGCACTTCTGGTGTTCTATCCACAGAGTAAACGATGTTTTACACTTCTGATGTTTCACCCTTGGAAACTAATTTAATAGCTTAAATTAGTCCTTCATATCCTATTCCCTTTGTTTTTAAGTACCTAGTTCATACCATGAAGGGCTCTCTACCCTGCATAAATATTCCATATTTTAATAACTGAAAGGAGAGCTCAAACTTTCTCTCCAGTGATAACAGTTACAATGGTGCATTTTCTTCCATGACATTTTTCTCTGCCTCTTTCAGATGCCCTCAAAGGAATTTCCTTTCTGACTAATTTAAGGTGATGGCTTTTGTCCAGGCACTGTCATCAGACCTCCACATTATCTCTCAGTTCTGAGGAAATCTTTGGAAACTTTTAATGAGATTCCTCTGCATACTGCAAGCTTTTATTCTTCAGAAATCAACAGAGCTTTTGTTTCTGAGAAGGAGTGATTCTTTTCTTTTATCGTATGCTGAAAAGTTGAGAAATCCAATTTATATAAAGCTCTGTTAATAATGGGGTAAATTATAGCTGCAAACATCATGGCAGCAACAAATTAAAATTGCAGGAGGCCTTTGAAATGTTTGACAAATAAATGATTCTTCTCAAATGATACAT